CAGTGCATCTCCTAAGCCCACCTAATACCAAAACTGTGTATTAAGAGGGTCAAGGCTTGCTGTATTTCTCCCACGTGTGTGTGTGTGTGTGTGTGTGTGTGTGTGTGTGTGTGTGTGAGTGGAGGGGAGTGAAGAGAGAACTTTCTTGTCATACTTAATTTTCTGTGTTTTTGTTGATTTCCAATGTTGTCTGAGATGCAGCTGATGTTATATGTGCTTACTCTAAAGCAAGTTCCAGCAAATAAGTGGGGATTATCTTCATTTAAATGCTGCAACTTTAGTGGTAAGAAATACAAAACTGGCAGATCCATATCTTTAATTACAGGACTCCAATCAAAAAAGGAAGATGGGCTGGGATTTAAAACACAAAAGGCTATGTAGGGTGGGAGCTGCTGAAACTTCCCCCTCTGCCCCCAGCCTTTTTCCCAGCTGTGCTGTCTTCCACTATTAGAACTGGAACGTTCTTCCAGTATTGAAGAGTGAGGCAGCCCTCTGTGGAAAATACCCAGAGTAATGTCTCTTTACCAAAGGCATTACTTGGAAGCATGTCCCACTGAAACCTTGCAGTGGAAGACATTGTGGGGGACACAAAAAATGTGGCTATGCTAAAAACAGAGTGGGCATTGAAACATAGTCACTATGTACATAAAACTCAGCATCAACAAACAAACCTGGCTATTTGGCTTTGCTACCTTAAAAAGGAAAGCTGAGTCCAGCCTGCCAAATTTGCAAATGAAGATTTTGCTTCTCTGGCACTCAGCCTATATCAGCATGGGTAAGGTAGCCTCCTTGCTAATGTGTTTGACACCTCTGCTTTATATAATTTCTAAAGAGCTGAAGTATCCATTAGTTCCTGTATGCTTATATTCTAAGCTTGGCCCCAATATGTCAAAACACAAACAATACAATTGCACGCTCTCTACTAAGATTTCATTTTGTGTTTGTTACTCACTGGCTAGCTACTATTGAAAGCTCGCTTCCATATAAGACTGGTTAAGCTGTTGGTGTGGTGCTACTACCATATGCTCCAAGAAGTGCTTAATCTCTTCTTATCACTACAGTCCTTGTGTTACGGTCGTGATATTCATACAAGCCTGACCTTTGAGAAAGTTAGATGTGGTGGTGTGGCAGCAAGTAACATAGTAACAAAGAACAGGGGTAGTCTATGCAGCAGGTTACCTTGTGATTAGGTGGCGAATTGGTAGTGCAGTTGTTTTTGTCTGAAGCATGCGGGCCCTGAGTAATGACAGAGGGCCCAGATAGACGGCAACTACTGCATGTGGGCAAGTCTCAGCCACTGGGAGGAACCTAGGCAACCGTCAGGTGTTTCCTGGACATAGTTAATCAGAGGCAGTGGTATGAGGACCAATAACCTGGCTTTGTTCTGGTAACTTGATAAAAATTTTGCCTTGTGCTCTTTATTGTATCCAACTTCCTTTTTGCTCTTTTAAGTCAATTGTTGTATCTGTTTAGCTAGTGGCCTAGAAGGCATTAATATAAGCCATTTCTATGCAAACTTTGCTTTGCATTGGGGCACTAAGAAGAGTCATGAGGTGAATGAGAAACCATGGGTAGGATCCAGGATTACTTATGTTTGGAATAGACCCATTAAAATCAGTGGGGCAAGTTAGTCACTATTATTATTGATACATTGCATTTATACCCTATCTTTCTTCGTCTAACAAGAAAGGAAGATTACAATGTTTTCCTCCTCTCCATTTTATCCTTACAATAACAACCCTGTGAGATAGGTTAGGGCGATTGTCTGTGACTGTCTCAAAGTCACCCACTGAGCTTCATGGCTGAGTGCAGTCTTGAACCCAGATCTCCCAGTCCAACATTCTAATATGCCACATTGGCTGCCTTAAGTCTCATTGATTTCAATGAGCATAACCAAGCCTGGATCAAAGCCACTGTTTTCTAACTCCACCTTTGCTTATACTATGGGATGGAGCCATGGGCAAGATGTAAATTCCACATCCTGATGGCACATTGTAGTGGCAGACCACTGATCAAGTATGAGAAGGAAGAAAGTATTGTGTGACTGACAATGAGTACTGTCAGTAGGTTCTTCTCTATTCTGCATGCCCCAGTTAGCTCCACACTTTTCTAATGATGGCACCCACAAGGGTCTACATTTAGGGATAAATTGTTGGAAGAGTTAGTGTGGCCATTAGGGCAATATTCACCTTCTCCATTCAGGCAAACACTTTGAAACTCTGTCGTCAGTGATCCTTTCTTCTATTCAGTGATCTGTAAGCTGCCAAAAAGGCTTAGGAGTGGGTGGGAAATGAGTTTAAAAATAAATAAATGTAAACTGAATGTGCTTTCGTTCAAAGTGCTTATGTCTTCACAAATATGTGGTGATAGTTACTCTGAAGATAAGCATCTAGACTTCATTTAAAAAGGAAGGAAATGCACTACAGGTAAGTTTGCAAAACACATTTTCTGCTGCTAGTGGTAACAAAATGTTTCTATATGCAAAGTAAGACTGGCAGATTTAAGTGGAAATATTTTAAATTATAATGCATATTGTGGCATTTTAAAATTGGAATGTACAATATATACAGTATCTTTCCCTGAGTTTGTTATGCATCGTGACAGAGAATATACAAACTACTGCAAGTTCTGGTGTTGGTTTCTAACCATTTGATAACTGATTCTAAGAGGATTCTATGGCTCCTAGATGGCATCTGGAGAGCCATAGAAAATTCTGATTCCCAGATAGATCCATGATTAGAGAAGGGGCTGAGACCTCAGAGCTGGAACTCCTTGTTATGATCCCCTTTCTCCCTTTGCAGCTGATGCAGAAAGAACCACAATGGCTGCCTCTCTAAGTTTGGAAAATTGACCTCAAAGAGTATCCTGATGGAAGTTCAGCCCTCTTTCCCCTCCAAATTGCCTCAGCTAGACAACATAAAAGGGCCGTCTAGCTAAAGTACAGAGCACGAGGTGCAGGAAGGCAGTGGTTGCATCGTCTGTCCTTCTGCTTTGCAGTGGATGCTCATAAGCTTCCACCTTTAGGGCTGACAAGCATCAAGGACACAACTGAGGATTGTGCGCTAATTCGATTCGTTTAACATACTGAATACCACCCCAAAAAGTCAGAGCTCCATCCCAATATTTACTCACCTTTCTTCATTTATGTTTTGGTTTACTTTACATTTTATTAATATTTTGAGTGTATGTATTTGTGTATTAATACTGAGCAGTATCCACCTGTGTTATTCCATTAAAACGAATGACATTGTGTTAGTAAATGCTAGATTCTGAACTACATGCAAGAGGAGAATCCAACTAAAGTTACACTTGCAGGAACATATCATGCAGGCAGTGTGCATTAAACTTGTACAGCCATTTTTGCACAACTGTTGGGCAACCTCTTGCATGTTCTGCTTGCACAACTGGTTGTACAAGTATAATTGGCAACCATGGAAAGATTCAGTGGAGCTGTTTGAATGCTACTGGATACTGCCTGCTGTTAGCTGCCTTGAGTACCATTTGATGGAAAGGCAGAATACAAAATATAAATGAAAAAATCAGTAGCAGTAACAGTGTATTTAGGATATTTGGCAATAACTGTCTAAAAACCTTAATATAATGAACAACTTGTACTTGAACAACTAGCATTGGCTAAACTTCATATTGTTGGTCCTGCACATTCTGTCTCTTTCATGCAGATCCACAAAATTAAGAAAAGCTGGACTTTAAAATGCAGATGTGGACAGAGTAAACAGGGAGTAGGTGGGGTAAATTCCAAGAACTGCATATGTTAGCCATTGGGTTGTTGGCTTGCTTGCCAGTTTTTAGAACCATATTTATTAATTCAGGTCAAACCTAATAAACACATATATGAATAAGCAGTAGCAGTTCAAATATTTGAAGTACAGACAGATCTGGTTTTTCCATTAAAAAGTCATTTTGCAAATGGGATACAGCTTCTAAAACTGAGCCATTGGTATTTATTACTGAAAAGGAGAGACATATGTGCTTATGGGAAACATATTATCAATAACACAAAGCAGTTTTAAAATATTTCAGTCAGAAATGGTGGGATTGTTTTGCTCTCAACATACCTGTCCCATGTTAATTTGCATGCTGCTGCCCTATATAGCAGAGAAGAGAAACTAGTAGCGTTTCAGGTGTTGTTGGACTGCGACTTTCATCAGCCCTAGCCGGCATAGTCAATGGTGAGGAACAACAGGGGTTGCAGTCTAACAGTATCTGGAGCATTAAAAATTTCCCACCCCACAGATGATGTAAAGCATGATTGTGGTATCCTGTAATCCATTTAGCCAGATACCTTGTCACTTCTAGTGATCATTCCGAACCCGGCGCATTCCAAATTTTTCAAGAATCCTGATCATTGGCCATGTGAACGGGGAATGATGGAACTTGTAGCTCCAAACATTTGGAGGGAACCACATTGGGAAGATTGTTCGACACAGTGCACCAGTTCTGCACACTTTAAATAACAAATGATGGCACACACCAGCCCCTTCTACATAGAGAATTAAATGGGGAGGATTGCTGCATAGGAAAGCATCCTTCCTTGCCCCACTGTACTGAGGATGTCCAATATACCCATCCATTAGAGTAAGCCAAAGCCTACCTGGACCTCAGCTCTGGCTTCCAGCAGCCTGCCCTTCCTGAGTGGAACACTTGAAATGCAGCTGACAGTGGTAGAGCAGAAGATTATGATGCATTTCTAAGCAGAACCCCATGCTGCTGGGCTATCTCCCATGAGCAGACAAGCTGGTGTAGCTTGTTTTCACACTTGGTGTGTATTGACATACGTGAGGTTCCTTTTCTCTAAGCACAAACTTGGGTATGGCTTGTTGAATTGTCCTGCGATTAGTTGGTGACGCTTTTCTCCTTCAACATGCCATGCTTCCCAAGGGGAGATGACCCAACAGGTAGATGATTAGGGAAATGGCGCCTGGAACATGTCAACACATGCCAAAGTTTCAGGCAACCCAATATGGGTTAATTAAGGCAGCAGTTTGTTTTGATTGTGAAAATTAGGCCACTTGTGGGCTAGAACAATTGTGCAAGCCAACCCAGTTATATGAGCCACTATGGACTGAGGTGGCCATGTGAAGTCAGGTCAGAAGAAGCTGAAAAAAAAAGAAAATCTGTGTCATTTTAACAAACTCATAGACAACATTGAAAATTGCTTAATCTTTAATTTTATATTTCATCTTTAATTTCTATTTTTTGTGATGACAAGGTCAACATCCAGAAATTATACATTAATTTATGCGAAAATTAACAGTATTCTAACACTTTAAAGGCTGTGGTCCTCTACCAGCTTGCTGGAGAGTAAGCCCATTGAACTCAATGGGACTTCTGAGTAGATATTTTAGGATTGCACTGAGTATCCAGCAACTGTATTTGTTATGACAACAAAGCATGGTTTCTGTTGCTAGAGTTCAGGATATTACAAGCCAGAAGTGGCAACTGAGTAGAATTAATCTCTTAACAGATTTTTCATTTTCTCATAACTGCTTGCATTTCTGTTAGCTTTTATTTCCTGATGTTGGATCTGCTCTGTCATTCCTCAGAATAATTTTCACACAAAAGTCATTTTTCCCCGTGAAATTTAAATTGCTGTTTTAAAGTGAATGAATAAATAAAGGGTTGGGGTGGGAAATAAAGCATTAGATACACATACAGTGTCTCACTAAAATTCGGTTATGATCCAATTAAAAAACTGGATCTGTCAGCTCATAAAAAGATACATAGTTGAACCGATAACTGTTTATTGTGGAGATATTGCAGCAGCAATCACCGAGAACCAAGCACAATCAATTCTCTGACTAAAGCAATCAATTTTCTGTCTAAACATAGGGATTGAGTAGAAGCTATTACAACCTTCCCAACCTGATGCCTTCCAAATGTATTTGGAGCAAATTCTTGTCATTCCTGGCCAGCATGTGTTGGAATCATACTCCTGTCGGGTGCCAAGCTGGGGAAAGCTAGGCTAGCAAATTCTCTTCTCTTATTGAAGCAAGAGAGTTTGCTATATCTAAAAAGTTCATGAAGAAATCCTTGCATTTTTTCCTGTTTTATATTGCCAAAACTTTAATGGAAGTGCTATTTTGGGAAACTGAAGGGAGTATGATCCAATAAATGAAAGCTCCCACAATTTCATAGAAGACCACGATCAGTATCTTTCTTTCCATGCTTCCTTTCTCTAATTTGCTGAAGTAAAATAGCCTAGAAATTAAATCAGTTTCCTCCCAAATTTTAACCTCAATAATTAATCTACCAATTACAGCTCACTACTAAAACCCAACAAATTTTGCAAGATGTCAGCTGTTAAAGCAATCAGAAAAACCTTATACCCTCTTTGAAATATGTTCAGGCTTAGCCTTTGGTCTTTACCAACATACCCTGTAATGTCAAAAAAAAAAAAAAAAAAAAATTTTTTAAAAAAATACTATTCTAAGAAGCTGATACCACTTTAAAATGACACTCAGCTATTAGAATGATGTGGAAAAGAGAGTCCAGGACTTCAAAGACATACACTGCATTTTAGGAATTAAATCACAGGAATAAATAAGCAGTCAAGCATGGAAATAGGGTTAGCAATAGTTCAGCAACATTCTCAGCTGCCACTACATAAAAAAGTAGAAAAGGAACTGCCTTCCTGGCACCGACTGCTGGTGAGTTGCCTAGTGGAGGGGGGAATGGACAGCTGGCGTGGTTGTGTAGGAGGAGAAAGCTGGGCCCAGGGGCATGCTAACTAAACCAAACGTACAGGCTGATGCAGAAGGGACAGGACTGCATGCTGAAGTGGGGGGCTGGAGGGAGCCTTGCTGCATTGTTCTTGAAATGTAGCAACAGCACCACCATTGGTTCAGGTTTTGTCTGCTTTTAGTTAATAACTTCCTTAAGGGCGCAATTCCCTGGATGCTTAGACAAAAGTTGCCCTAACATTCTCCAGCCAGCCCTGCAAGGATGCTTTTCTGCCTTAACATGCATAGGATTTCACTCTACACAACTTAAGTTACCTATTGGCTGCTTCAAGCAGCTTACCAATTACATATGATAATAGTTCTGTGTCATGAAGGCCAGCCAAACCTCAAGAGATGAAGGTGAATGCAGGAGAACCCTAAACTGTGAACCCCTTCTTCAGGAAAAAGTGCAGCTCCATCCAGAACTGGCTGAGCACTCCATAGCCTGTCAAAATGGCCACTAACAGCATCTCAGTCTTGTCTGGTTGTTTATTAGGTCTCATCCAGCACAGCCAGGGCTGATCCAGCATATCCACAGCCTCTCAAGATGAAGAAGGAAACAGAGCTGTCATGAACTTAGTGGTTTCAAAAACCAGTAAGAGGTCAAGGAGAATCAGCAAGGTCACACTGGAACTGACATTTAGATCCTATCCCCTTACATTCCCAGTTCTCTTTTTAAAAAGCAGATTCCAAAGATGCAGTATTCTGTGCAAGATGGTCTGTACGGACATGTTGCAGTAACAGAACTGCAGAACGCATATTGCTCTCTTCTGAGCAGTTCACATTTAGGCAGAGATGAAGCAAAACCAACTTACTTGCATATTGAATAGGGCCAACTTGAAATTCAGCACATGACCTCATGATTTTTAAGAAAGATACTTGCTGTCATCTTTGAAGAGATGAATTACTTTATTCACAAATTGGTATCCATTTTAGAGAGTAGTGTTTGGAACATGCCTTTCCCTCATAATTGTCTATTCAATATCATAATGACATTCACAAAGAGACTCCTTTGAATCCCAGATAAAGATCTTGTCACCAAGATACTCATTCTACTAAATGCTGAGAGCACTGTACTCATCCTTCATTTTAGCTTCTAATGGAAATTTAATTTCCATATCCATTTAACGTGTAACCTTTCCCTAAAGACAATTCATAAAAGTATTTTCTGGGGGTGCGAAGTCCTAAGGGAAGTTTTCTTAAAGCAATTCATTTCTAATGTGCACTTCTGAACTATTCCTTTGCAATTTACCGACTAGCAGGCCAGACACCTTTCCAGAGCTGTGGGGAAAGACAAAATGGAGTTGCAACTACATAAAAGTTAGAATTTCTAAGTGACTACCATGGGAAAGAATAAATCATTCAATTTATGATTCAGGTCCTCCGAGGTTTTCACATATGTTACTGTGAAATGCTAATACATTTCCTCAATGAGATCGCTTTGAGTTTTAATCTACCACAACTAAATATTACTTTTTTTATATGTAGATGAATTCTGGAATTCAGCGCAACATATGCACTGCAAATGAAACAGCTATTCCAAATACTGTTATTAACTGCCAGGGAGAATCAGCTTAGAAATAAAAGGAAGATAACTTATTTGGTTTGGGGCACTCTTCATATTTGCACATTGTTCAACAGACTGTACCTCAGGGCAGCAAAAACAGACATACCATCTGCTTGCCAGAAAGTCTCTTTTAAATTTTCCTAGTGAATATATGAGCAATCGGCAGCAGTGGGTGTTAAAACTACTGAAACATAGGATGGAAAGAGATGCTGCCTGGCCTGGTACTTTTAATGCTATTCTTCTTCAAATAACCTCCTTGGGGGGGGGGGGGGGGAGGAGGAAAAAGCAGGAACAGAAAAGGAAATAAAACCTGCCAAATTTTTCCTGAGTTCCAGAGTAGCTAATTACTGTCACAGAAATTGTTTGAATTTTTCAGGAAAGTATTCCATGTTTTAAAATCACAGTACAAATTCAGCTCTATAATGGGGTGGGGGGCAGGATTGCTTCATTCTCCAGAATTTACAGGTGGATTTTTCCACCTCATTTTGATGTCAGATATTTTGACTTCCGTATTTTTAGAGAAGTCAGCTCAGGCACACCAACCTTGATATGAGATCACTCAGTTGGCTCCCAATATTGGCAAATTTTTGTGCCCTCCTTATTTGTATTATGAATTGGCAAGCAAGAGCTGAAATCAAACACACAAAGAACACCCCCCCAAGTCCTTCACCCTTCATGCAATATTTTACATTCTTCCTTATGAAATAATTACCTATAATCAACAAAAGAGCACAAGCACCGCAGTTGCTGTGATTCCTTTAATGTTAGGACTTAATAGTTGGATACTGAATAATGAAACAAAAGCAGCCAAATTCCAACTGTAAAATAGGGCCCAAATTTAAAACACAAATTTACAAAAATAGGAAAATATAGTTCTAACTTTTTATAACAAGCACCGAAATAATGGATATTACCAATCACTCTTAGAAAGGTATCAAAATATAATTGCCAAGGAAAATCTGTATTCAGAATTACATTCAAGTGTGTTATCTTGATTGTATTTGCAAGTGTTGATTAGACGTTAGGAGTACTTCTGCCATCCACTTACTACTTTGCAGCTACCAAGTCCAAATACATAGATTATGGTCTAAAGCAACTGTCATTTAGGATCATTTTAGTCTGTGAAGGAATTAAAAATGCGATTAAATTACCTGAAGTACTTATTCATTGGCTAATATATAAAATCCACTTCTTCACTAAAGTTGCGTTCTGCAACCCACTTACACTAGGAAGGTCCGGTTACATTCAAGAGGTAAACAAGCACTGAGAGCAGCAGCCTGATCCTGATCCCCTACTATAACGGTTACTGGGCCAGTATCTGCTTGCACAATAGCGATTGCTTCCTGATGGTGCTAGCATGGGGAAACTCCCTTGGTACACAGTGCTTGACCAATTTAAGCATTGGCAGCATGACAAGTTTGGGCACACTCTTGATCTCAAAGGCCCTGCCTGAAAATGTTTTACTGTGGGCAGAGCACAGCACTGGGCTCCCATCCTAAAGTCAAAACCTTATGTAGTTTGTAACACAGAAATGAAACCATTCATTTAAGCAGAAAAAAACAAGAAGCCAGTTTCCACAATATAATCCTGTACCATTCTAAAATTAATTTTTCATTGTTCTTTGCAGATGTATTTTGATGTTAGTAGGACTGACAACATTATCCAATGAACATTTACAGAAGAGTGAGGGGGAGATGACACTTTCGTTGTTGATACTCTAATAAAGCATTCTGAGTATATGAATATGAACTTTAATTTAAAAAATGGATACATTAAGATTATCTTTAACCAGTGAAGTCAGGGGGAAAGTTTTCCAGCACTTTATTTTTCTGTGGAAAATTTTCTTTGCATAACATAATTAGTAAAAATAATATATGCCAATTGCAAATACAATATTAGTTAAGTTTGGCAGTTTCAATGTGGTAATTAACATTTTTCAGGTGATTATCCTTAGCAGGTCTTTGAGAGATAATTTGTATGTCATTGAAATACATCTGTGTTAAAATGTGAAAGGGTGATGAGTAGATAATGACAGCCTAACCATCAACCTTAATGGAGTAATCTCCATTGAACTAGATGAAGGGTAGTCAGCATATCACACATTGTTCTCTGGGTTGCCAAAATTACTGTGTCATAGTTTTCAGTATCTTTTGTTTTTCGTAAATGTAAATATAAGGAATTCCATGATATTGGTGGTATCCAATGCTGCCATTCTGCTTACAGCACCGATATGGTGCTGGCTATAAGTAATCTTGAACACAACAGCAATTCAATATGCTGGCATGACTGGTTTCTATAGTAAACCTGTTGGCCTTGTGCTAGAGGTCACTTATCCTGCCAGTATGGCCAATGGTGAAGGATGATGGGAATTGTAAGCCAATCATCTGGAGGGCCACAACTTGCCCAGCCCTCCTCAGAACATTTTTCAATGCAAACTTAGTATCTTCCTATGCAAATAACCCTAATTGGCAGTGGAAAATTTTCTAGTTCAACATTTCCTGGAAACTCTTCATCACTGCATATTACAAATTTCTGCTGTACTGGAAACCCACCTTGGTTTAAGATGATGTAACTGTCAGGACCGGGGTGCTCCATGGTGCTATCTGGTGGCCAAAACCAGAATGACCACTGCAATATTTGCAGCTTTGGTACCAGATCCTACTGGAACTCTTGTCTCCTGATTAGTGCCATGTGCGAGGCCTGGGGGAAGAGGTATATAAGAGCAAGCTCTCCCCTCCACTGGCTGCCTCAGCCATGCAGGTCTTCTCCCTAGCTCTTTTGTGGTCCAGCTCTTGCAAGGACCACAAGACCTGGACTTCTCTGATCTTCTATCTTGACTTGTGGTGTCCAGCCTTGCTGTCTTGTCTTGACTTGCTGTCTGGCCTTGTTTGTCCCATCTTTTCTACTCCTGAATCCTGTCCAGTTATCTTGTCTCTTGTCTGCTCCCTGCTCTTGTCTTCCTGGCTTTCTCAGAACCATAGAATAGTAGAGTTGGAAGGGATCATGAAGGGTATCAGGTCCAACCCCCTGCTGTTGCAGAACACCTATGTATATCGTCTCAGTCAGATGGCTGTCCAGTTTCTTTTTGAATGTCTCTAGTGTGGGAGAGCCCACCACCTCTCTAGGCAGCTGGCTCCACTCTTGTATTGCTCTGACAGTGAGGAAGCTTTTCCTGATGTCCAGCATGAATCTGGGTTGTCACAACTTGAACTGATTATTCCGTGTCCTACACTCTGGTATCAGCAAGAAGAGATCTTGAACTTTCTCTTTGTGAAAGCCTTTGAGGTACTTATGGAGGGATATCGTGTCCACCCTCAGTCTTCTCTTCCTGAGGCTGAACATGCCCAGTTCTCTCAGTCAGTCCTCACAGGACAGTGTTTCCAAATCTTGGATGATTTTTGTTGCCTTCCTCTGGACCCTTTCTAATTTCCTGGTTTGTTCATGACTATGTCGTCTTGTCATGATATGTGCTCCTAGTTCCCAACTTCAACTTGACTACAAGCTTGCTTCTGACTTCAGTACTGAACTTTGGACTGTGTGTGGACTCCAGCCTGCCTCAGGTTCTGTTGCCCTCATCCCAGTGCCTCTCCCATGATTCCTGACATCCACTTCCTGGATCCCTGATAGTAATTTACATTTATTTATATTCTTTAAATTAAATTCTATATGTGACTATTCAGAAGCCCTAATAGACTTACTCCCAGGTAAGTTTGCATAGGATTATGGCCTGGTGAATATCAATTATATACCCAGAAACAGTTTTCAGCATATCATTTTATTATCTGCCTCTTTGTGCAGCTTCCTTTCTTCTCCCACACTGATCACTAACCAGATCCACACCTGCCCAGCATTAGATACTCCTAAATCAGTTCTTAATGAAATTTAATTATTTTTTATTACCAAAATATTGAGTGCTTTACCATAACGTATCTTAATCTGGGACAGAGAACTTAATTTTATTTGTGGTTATTTAGGGTACAATCCAGTGGCCACTAGACAGAGTCTAAAAGGCCTGAGGAAAAGTCAGCATCCCAGCTCCAATGGTGGAAACTTGCTCTGGGGAAACTAACCTCAGAGCACCTTCCCAGCACAAATAGAAAGAATAGCACTGACTGGGGCTCTAAAGGCTGAGAGCAGCACTATAGTTTTGTGGGAGTTCTAAGGAGAAAGGAGGGGAGGAGTGAAGCTCCACCAGCCTTCATACCATGTTTCCCTGAAAATAAGACCTAACCAGACAATAAGTTCTAGAATGATTTTTCAGGATGCTCGTAATATAAGCCCTAACCCAAAAATAAGCCCCAGTTAAAACTGTAAGCCAGACAGACACGGAAACATGGTAGTACGTCCATTGCAACACATGACAGACATATTGAATTATAAAATAATGTAAATATATAATTAAATATAAATAAACAATATTGACATTAATACTTAAAATAAATGATAATATACATAATTAAGTACTTGTAAATACCAAAGCGGGCACCTTTGGATGAGAGATAAGCACCTATGTAAACAGATGAACGCGAGACCTATTGCCGAATGACCAATCAAGAGTACAGATAAAATGCATGAATACTGTCAATACGTCATGTGTTGTAACAGACATACTTAATGCATGGATGCAAAATGCAAGATAGGTGCAAGAAGAAAGAGCTATCCCATCAAGTACAAGCAAGGAATCGTGGCGGACTCTCAGGGCAAGAATCTTATGGCTTTTGTAAGAAAAAATAAGATATCACCTCGTAATAAACCCTAATGCGTCTTTTGGAGCAAAAATTAATATAAGACCAGGTCTTATTTTCGGGGAAACAAAGTAGTATCCAGGCAGTGCCTCAGCCTGTCTTCCCCATGCTCTAGGGGCAAAAACGTTCGATAGCTGCAACTAGCTGCCTAAGTCCTCTGTAAATTGGGTGGAGCACTAAGGCCACCATTGCTTCTGTCCATCTTTTGTCCTTAATAGGGTACCTATAATCCTTCACGTCTGAGTGTTATGGGCAGCCACACTGAAATGCACTGCCCACTAGAAAATGGACACTGCAAATGTGTGAAGAAATCATAGATTGGTATTTAAAATAAAAGAAAATGAAGCCAAACTGTACAGTTAACTTTAAAAAATGTATTGCATAATATTCACCATTAGATGTGCTTTATACAAGTAACTGGAGATTTAACATCTTGATTTTTACAGAACAAAAGGTTCTTTATAACAAAGCTGTCTTCATGTAATTTAAAATGCAAAGGCTTTGGTTGAAAAGCGTCTGTAAATGAATCCAGATTTCCTCAAGTTGGGGTGACAGCCTGGATACTTCTGCCAGCAAAGATGGCTCTGAGGAAAGGATTTTAAAGTGCAACTGAAAAGGAAACACAACCTAGTTGTCATTTAGATACACAGATCAAAACAAAAAACTTAATACCTGGTTCATGTATTAAAATTATCACATCACTACTATATTTGCATTAGCTAATAGAATTTATGTTATTCTCCTTAACACAATGCCCACAATTAAATAAAATTAAACAAAAATAGAAGCACAGCCATTTTTTCAGAGAGTGGTAGATGCAGTACCACTATGGCAAGCTGTGCTAAACACTATCAAGTCCTACAGTTCTCGTCTAGGAAACTGAAATGCCAAATGGAATGGTAATATAAAATACACTGTGGAAAAAGTGCTATTTCAGAAAGGAATGAATGCTATCAGGTATTTCCTGCTTCTTCTCTAAGCAGTCCTCTCACACCAGTATGTGAAATAAACACTGTTTTGTCCTTGGCGAGTTGAACTTTACAGCGTATTACGGCAACTATCCAATAAAAGCATGCATTTACCTTTAGGAACAATGCAAGGTACGCTTGAGCCAGTTCGAAGTCACACTTCGTATTCAGCATTGCCTCAATCATTCTTAGGAAGCTCTGCATCACCTCAACAGAGCCACCTCCATCTGGTGACAAGCCTCTCAGTTCTGTCTCAATATTAGATGGTCCCATATTCTTCAGAATCCCAACTGCAGGCTTATCTGTCAAATGAGAATATGGCTACAGTTCTAGAAAATATTCTGAAGATTTTATTTATCACAGTACTTCAATAGTTACTCTGCAACATTCAGTTTTAATCAATCTGAGGCATCTGTTCACAAGCCAAAGCACTCATTTATGCAAATAAGAGAATAACACAGGCCGGTAGAATTTCTGCTGACATTTTCTGTGTAAGGAAAAAAATCCTACTCCTAAGAGACAAGCCATTCAAAACCTTGTCTCTTTGGGAGCTGGGGGTAGTGAAGAGATTTCAAGAAAAATCCAGCTGTACATGTGATTCTATTACTTCTATATGAATTACATCTTTGCAGCATGACTTCTGTACCTATTTTCTACAGAATACCATGATCACAATCCTTCTCTGCAGGAAACCAAAACACCTGTGTGTCATGGAATCCCCATAGAGCTGGAGAGCCATTATTTTTTCCCTGCAGCTGGCACAAACACAGGCAGTCTCCCAGGTCATTCCGGAAAATGGGAGGTCTGTGCACTCCTCCCAAATGCCACTCCACTTTTTCATATACATTCAGTCAAGATATTCAGCCATGCTGTTCTAATATTGACTTTATACTGCTCCGAATATCCATGTTATACTTTTTAGGCAGTCATGGAATAATAAAACTATTTTAAAGATGATTTTCCATTAAATTTTTCAAAATCCTTGTCTGAGAGTCAGTGTGAGGTTCTGTGAGGCCAGAGACCAGAATAGCAGCCCTGGTGGATGCAGGACTGGGTCCACAGTCAATCGCAGCCACCTGGGATGTTACAGGCACCACCTGGGAGCCCTGAGGAGAGAGCTATAAAAGAACCAGCTCTTCCCTTCAGATGCAGCCTCAGCAATGAAGGTCTTTGAATGCTCTGTGCCTCCTGGAGCCTGTTTCTGGAGACTGCCTGTTGCCTCTGCTTTTGCACCATGCCTGGCTGTACCTGCTCTGCCTTCCACTCCAATCCCAGGTGCCCGTTTCTCCTTGGCTTGCCTCTCTGGCTTTTGACCAGCATTGACTGCTCTATTTGGATACTTAACTTGCACTTCTGTTACCTTTCTTGACCTCTGGACTGCCTATGATTTGGAATGGGCCTGTATATTGCACTGGGTGTCTGGATCCTGGTGCCCTGATCTGATACCCAGCCACCCACACCCCAGCCACTGACAGGCTTATACAACTTGGAAAAATAGGTAAGCAGGGTTATATGAATGTTTCTGGCCAAATCACTTAAGTGGGAGTGAGAGAAAGGGAAGGCCAGAACCAGCCCACTAAAGATCTACAGTCATCTGCAGTCAATATGTTACACTGCAAGTACCCAGAACATCCATGCAGTCATCATGGGCAGTTCTGTACAGAAGTCATTTAAGCTATTTAGCCTTGTACAAAGCAACAAAACCATGCTTTCTGGCAGTAAGAACCTGGGCTGCTTTTCCCCCTCAGGCTTTTAAAACCTCACTTGCCAAACTGCCTTTTCTACTTTAAATTCTTGGCTGGTTCAGTTCTAGGAAGCTACAAATGAGCACTATCAGACTTGTGCTTCTGTCCCTTTTATCAAGGGGACTGCAACCAGTTTTTTCAAACACTTAAAAACAGCCAATTAGGTTGGTGTTATTTTCTTCTGCATTACGAATGTCTGTTTTAGTTTCATAATTCAAACCTCTAAGCTGGTTTCATTTTCCAAAACATTCACCTCAAGACACTGAATGTAATCCAGAATGTAATTATTAAGCATATGACTACAAAGGAAGTTATTCTTCATACATTCCTGCTGTTGTTTACCTGCCAGCTTATGCTGTGAACCTCACCGTAATCTGCAGTAAGAATGATGACATGAATACTGTTGCACATTCATTCGTTCCAAATACCAAAGTAAGTCTTTTATTTCCACTTAGCACATACACAGGGCTGTATTCAATGGTGACTATCCAACCAGTGGGAGTTGGTTAAAGAACCAGGTTAACATATTAAAATGGGGAATAAAGAGGAAGGCGGAAAGAGCAGGCAACTGCTATAGGAATAAATAAATACAAATGGAGAAAGGAGTAATACTCCTTGTTTGTCCCCCAAATTTACTCTGTAGGGTAGGGTGCCCGCTGGAGAGAAACTGGGGCAGCTTGCAGAACACAGGAGGGAGGAGAGAAGAAGTTCTGTGCTTAAGCAGCGGTCCACTTGTGTGCTGTTCGACAGAGCTATGCAGGCTTCATGCCATTACACAGAAGCAGGGGTGCAATGCTGATGCAATCCCCAGTCTCTGTTTACTGAGCAAGGAGGGAGCTGGTGGTGCTTTATGAAGACTTGTTCACACAACTGAGAGATGAATCACATGGAAGAACTTCCAGTTAATGCACTTTATGTCTTTTGCTCAATGTGTCAAGATCTGGGGATAGAGTACATACCATACTGCATCTCCCCTTTAATAGCACGAAGGCAGCTACAATCAATGACAGATGAGAATAACCTTACTTTTACTGTCACAAACCATTATTAACAGCACCTAAAAACCTCCTTCAGAGTGGTTCAGGAAAGTATGAACATATTCAATCAGTTTAAAAGTATTCCTCACTTTTAAGGTGGTTCATATTGTTGTACCTGCATGATATGTAACGCATCAAAGAAAGCTTAACAGAAGCTTACGCAAGGGTTCTCTTCAATCGTTTCAATATAAGGCTTATACAAGATTTATGAAGTTCATAAGCTAGTTCATAAGATGGTAACTTAAATATCAGAAGACTACATGTTTATTGTACTCATTTTAAAAAGAAGGTTACAAATTTATGTAGTTCTTTTTTTCCTTGACAGCAACTGGAAGATATTACAGAGTGAAATCATAGACTGGGATGGCAGAAGAATTAAATGGAAGCCTTAAGGGACTAACAGTAAACACTGTTTCTGTACAACTCACCACCCAGAAACCACTGTTCCGATTACTCAGCGCTTTAATTTCTGGTAGCCTGGATAACCCCAATTCCATTTAGACATTTCAAACTATTTCCAGTCCAGTTACTGTATGTCCTGCTTAGGTCCTTCTATGTTTTCTCTGCTCCTCAGAGGTCAAATATACACTCTTTTACTGTTTCTATATGTAACATGTTGTTTTCCTGATCCTGACAAAGACTGAGTGCTGTAAAATGTTACTATTTATTTTGAGGTGGGGAACTAATTAATCTTATTAAAAGCATTCATTGACTGTGAGATGCTTTATTATTTGTTATTTACAAAGATGACATAAAAATCCTAGAAAAAAGCATATGAAGATCTGCATCTGAAAATATTATGCCCAAATTTGATCATCCATTTCCAAGGTTGAATATACTCTGAATACTTTTTCCAGGGTCACTGTAAAAGTCACTGTCCTTCAACCTAACACATAACTCTTAGACATTTTAAAATATGTGGATAGCAGTATATAAATCTATTAAATAATAAATTAAAACAGTTTTATGTGTATGTACATTGAACAAATCGGGTATAACATCTGTAGGAAAAGGACAGTAGAAATCAGTGGAACATGGTCAAATGTGAAGATCTGTGTGATGAGACGAAGGAACCAGAAAATTGGAGGTTATTTCCCCAAGATATTTTACATTTCCCCCATTTTGTTCCGTCTTCACACCCTGGTTCCTTCCCTCCTCTAAGTCTTTCCTTCTTTAGACAGGCTGCATAAATTGTAGCCATCATATTATCCTAGGAGTTTTCTTTCCTCTCTAGCTTGCTAAACTAGGCTTTAAAGTTCCTACTGCACAATACCCTGCATTCTCCCAGTCTCCCCTAATGTATATTCACATTAAAAATACAGAATAACATTAACAAATCTTTGGACAGCTCAGGAGATCTGGCATAAAAAATGTCAGGGTAGCTAAAAGCAATTTCAATAAGTTTTAAAAATCTGTTATTTTTAAAATCATAAAACAGCAAATATTTCTAATTTAATTACATAGTTATAAAATTGCATCATAAACATACTAAATATACACTTACAGACTCAGAGACCAATGAAACATGGGCCCTGATTTGATTTTTATCTCATGAAAATGACTCCCAGACAACTTTACTTAGAGCTCTTGCTTTCTTGAATGTTCTGGGCTTTCAGTTTCTCTGACTAAAGTCAGAGGAGATAAACTATGATTGTTATTCTGTGCTTACGTTTAGTGAAGTTGGGCCAAGCAAACCAAAGGAATTAAAACTGACACCACAACCCGCCACAACAAGCCATGTTTGATTGTCATGTTGTCGGAACACAGACTGCTTTCCACAGGGTGGCATGTTAAATGTAATATTAAATTTCTGGAGGAAAGAAAAATCTATGTATTTTCTCCTCTTCTTCCTACTACTTTTCCCCCAACTGTTGGAATGCACATCCAGAAAGTTTTTTTATTTCATATGATAACTTACAGTTGCTGTTTCCCAGCGCTTCTTCAAGCTGTAAGTAGAATTCAGATTTTTGTGCCAACATGCCAAGATGTACTAGTTTGGACTGGAATTAAGAAGAAAGTTACTTGAAATACTTAGAAGTTTTGGCGCAGGAAAAAATACATTTAGAATTTCAGACAACATAGAGAACTGTCCCCTTTCTTTTGGAAACTCAAATGTTAGACTCATTGAATTATATACTTTTACATTATTGACGGAGTGATCCTATGGCCCCTAAACATTGTCTGAAAAGTTGTAAGATGCTGGGTGTTCTCCCCTGAGGTTGGAAACTGTTCCCGCTCTGGAAAGAAGAGTTGGAGATCCAACCCTCTCACCCTTCCGCAAGCTGTCACAGCCAATGCAAAAAGAAAAAGGTGGGGGGAGCACCAGCTGCCCTCTGAGGCTGAAAAAGCCATCTCAGAAAGGGGGAAAAAAGGGGGCATTCCAGTGGGTAAGCGGGGGAGGACACAGAAGATACAAGCTGCCCTGAAGCTTCTCCGGCTTACTTACCCCTCCCCCTGAAATGCCCTAGCTAGATGGGCAAAAAAACTCATCAAGGAAAAAAGTGCAGAGTAGCAGGACAGGAAGATGAAGATTGCTCTGCTACTCCTCCTGCCCTGGAAAGAAAGCATGGCTGTAAGCCCTACAATCAAATGGGGAGGTAGCCCATAGGACCTTAAATCATACAGAAGAATGACTAAATTGTATTATTTAGCAGAAATCTCTTCTATTAAGATGAATATCCTTTCCTAAGTTCTTTTTGTTTCAGACTCTACACAGACAGATAAGAACATGTATCTCATAAATGAAAAAAGATGGGTTGATCTAGAGATAAGCAAAACAAGGACTTCTTTGAACATTCTCCAGAAAATTAGAAGACTTTCTGATTAGAATAATGCCATAATGGAAACTAAAGAAGTTATATAGTTTACTGAGTTAGAGTGAAGATGAGAGCAAGTTTTCTAAATTTAATAAGATAATCAATGGTTAATAACAGCTTTGAGTAATTTTTAACACCCACTAATTATGCTTTTAAGTTAAGCAAAGGTATAATTGTGAATAAAGTTTAGCTATTGTTGTTGTTTGTCTCATTTCTATTTCACTGAATAACTTTATACAGTTCACAAAAATTAATTCATGCAATTCACCACAGAAGAAGTCTACATAATAAAGAAGTTTGGCACAATCATCTCCCTTTTTACCTGGTGTCCATCTTTTTCATGTTCAACAGAAGCATATCGTGGGACAAGACCAGGAACTGTGGGGATGAAGAATGGTGCAGATTTTGGCACTTTTGGTGGCTCTTTGGGTTTATTCTTTTGCTGTTGAGAGGAGATTTTATATCAGTATCAAGGAATTTACACATGCTCGAACACAAACTTATTAACTTCCCAGTTATGTAAGCATTTACAACCCACCTAGAATATTAAACATATAAACAAACCAAGTAACAATTGGTTTGCAGCATATTGTCCCAAACCAAATTCAAATATATCTTAGCGTAGTAAAGTTCTCATATACGGTTTCGGGTTAAGAGCATCTTCTCTAAATAGGACATGTTTTATTACTATGAATCATTTTGTCATCCTAACACTCTTCATTGTCTAGGACAAAAAGGCACCCCAATGGCAAAAACTAATGGAACTTATTGGGATTTTTTTTGTCCCAGGTGCATTTTGGTTCAAGAAAGGACATTTTGAATGTACACTTTAACCTGCTTCCCTGGACTTGTTTTTGTTAAAGAAATGTTCTTTAGGTTAAAGAAATCCTGAAGATGAAATCAGGTTGGGATGGGGATAGGGGAAAGTGACTAAGTCTACTTGTTCAAGTTCTCTAATTGAAACTGAACCCACAGATAAATTCTACTGCATATCATTGAACAACTGTTGAATAATCTTTAGCATTTGAAGTAGTTAGTATTGGAGGATTTTCCAGGTAGTTCTGATTTCTGAGAGCTCTAAAAGCTCCCTAGAAGTCATCCCAGATCACCCTCAAGCCAATTTGTTGATTCTTTACAGTCAACTAAAACACAATCATATAATGAAAATAGGTTTGATTAGAAAGCTTAAAAAAATATGGGATGAGCACATTACCTTAATAATATCAAGGTTGAGTAGGCTCTTCCATCTAGATTCTGGCAATACAGAAAGGGTCACTAATGCTTCTCCCAGTTGCTCTGGGGAATCATATTCTATCATCTCATCACTTGTTTCTTCCTCTTCTGCAACATCTATGTCTTTGAATTGCAACAGACAAATATATTTGACTTTATAGCACATCATTTATCAACACTGAGATAAACACATTATAATAAGATGAAATCCACACAAACATTATAACCAGGTGTTCAGTTCCCTGCCCTTCAAAATTTATTTAATACAAGCTCTGAAAATAAGGAGCCAGGTTCCTTTAATCTGCTTCAGATCAGCTGTTGGAAGACAGGAGAGATGGGAAAAAACTGTTTTCTGGTGTTGCCACACAGACCTTTCCCCTTTGCTCCCTCTCCACACACCCAGTCTCTAGCCTTTTTATTTATCTCCCTATATCCAATTTTCTCATTATTTCTTGTTTCTCTCCCTTTGCAGCCCACCTCTCTCTCCTCTCTCTTTACCTTGCTCCTTCCACCATCTCCTCCTCTAGCATCACTTTCTATTACCCTCCATCTCTTTTGCTTACCTTTGCCTTGTCAGCCCCCCATAACAAGCCCTGTAAGAGCCATTTTGTAACAGCACCCACAGCAATTACTCAGATTCCCAAATGTGCCAATGGATACTACAGGTCTGGAGACCCCTGCAATAACATTTCTAGTTACAGTTAAGCATAGCTACACTGGGACTATTGTTATGTTAAATCTGTACAGAGGACAAAAGAGCAACAGTCCACAACACCATGCACAAAAAGAAGAGACAGTGGTTGAGGATGCACAGCCCAATACTTACTGCAGGATGGAAATACATACCTAAGGCTCATAACTGACCTCTCAGATGGGTTGGCCAAAGCTTTTCTACCTGCAGAGATTATGTTTCTAGCTGTCCCATTCTCTCCCTACTGGTTAAGAATGGTAGAACTAAAGTGGGCCAAAGAATAATGGAGCACTTTCAGTTGCTGAACTCCTAATTGTTCTCTACTACCATCAGAATGTACAAAAATAATAATCATACAGCACCGCACATCTTCTAACTGCTTTCTGAGTTCTGCATAAGGTAGCAAACTGAATTTTGACTGTACTAAAGGAGATGTGGTCTTTGTGACCAATGTGATTTACCAGTGAAATAATGGTTACTAATTAGGTATGTGAATAATTTACATAATTAAGTTAAACCAATGATTTTAAAATCAATTATTAATGGTTACATTTAAAACAAATATATCATATAAAATTAATGAATGCCTAACAAACCAAGAATGCAGAAACAGCAAGCAAGACGACATTAATCTTTATTACTGCAACATTTTCATGCCTTTTCTGAAACGTGTGACTCAGAACATATTGCTGGGAATTGACTTGAGGGCATGAATCTAAAGTAGCATCTACATTTGAACTCTTCAGTGTAGACATGAAAATGGATTGCTTGCAGCTTCATTGCATACATTATTTGTACTTCTTGGGCATTCCATAATTTTGCTTTCAGCAAATTACCAAGGTGAGGTGTTTTGACTGCTATCACTGCGAAAAATTTTGTATGGATTCTGGGTGTCACTGACACCCCAGAGAGCTGTGCACTGTACAGAAGTACTTCCCCCTCTCCTGTAACTCTCAGTGGCAAAACCCCCACCTATACCAAAAATGTGAAATATAGCACATACAACAAATAATATGCATCCCTTCTTGGTGGGCATGTTGTGAGCGGAGCCGGCTGGTGCCGGAGGTCAGACTAGATGGCCCGGGAGGCCCCTTAGCTCTGTTTCTATGTTTCTTGACCTTAACCCTGAATTACTACAATGATCTCTGGGTGACTGACTTTGGTGACCTTTATTACAGTACTTGCAGCCTGCTGAATAACATGTAGCCTAAAAATTATATATACAACAGCTAGTCGCCAAAGCAATGGTCCACTGATTGGGCATTTTGCATGGTGCCTACAGCAGTTTCTCATATTCCCATATGAGCCCACAGATCCATAAAGGTTGAAAACTTACAGAATACATGCTAGTAGAATTCTAAAACTGCCCAGCAGTTTAGTTTCCAAATTTTGGCTTCTATCCTTTATGAACTAATTAAATATAAAGAACCAAAGCTAACAAGCTAAATATGAGCTAGCAATGCAATGCAGCCACAAAAAAGCCAAGTGATACTTGGGATGCATAAACAGAAGCAACACTCACAGAACAAGAGAGGTGCTAGCTCTCCTTTACTCTGCACTAGTCAGACCTCAACTAGAATACTGTGTTCAGTCCTGGGCATCCAAGTTTTTAAAAGAACTAGAAAGGATTGAAAGGAAGGCAACAAAGATGATCAGGGTCTGGAAACAAAGCCCTACATGATTGTCAGAGAGCTGGGCATGCTTAGCCTCAAGAAGAGAAGCCTACAAGGGAATATGTTAGCATTCTACAAGTACCTCAAAGGCTGTTACAGAGAAGAAAGAAAAGCCCTCTTCTCAGTCATCCCTGAGTGTAGGACACAGAGCAATGAACTCAAACTGCAGCACACTAGATTCAGGCTAGACACCAGGGAAAATTTCCTAACTCTCAGCACAATATAACAGTAAAACCACTTGCCAAGAGAGGTCGTGGGCATTCCCACACTAGAGAAATTCAAGGTGAAACTAGACAGCCATCTGAATGGGATGGTGTGACTTGGCATCTTGCACCAGCAGAGGGTTGGACCCAATGGCCTTCTTGGCCCCTTCCGACCCTACTATTATATTAATCTATGACACATTTAGGCCTTCTTATCTTTCTATTAGAGTTTCTCCCTCAACTTAGCTTTCAAGAAAGATTTTATAACATTTCATAGGTGTGTAATCCTTAAGGATGATTTTTTTCTAAACAAAAATAATTTTACTGAAAATAGGAAAAGTGTATGGATCCTCACATTGCACTAGCTGTATTACATAAGTATCAGAAGTGCTGATTCCTACCCCTAAGCACCCCTATTATTTCTAATGCCTTTTTCTTGGTGAGTGTGCACATGCAATCTTGTTGTACCTCAGAGCTCTGATCAGTGTACAGTGTGATAAGACTATAGCCCTGCACACTGATTAGGATATATTAGATGTTCCAGTATAGGTTAGGCTTTAACAGCCAGGGATAAGCATGGGTAGGCTACTCAATTTTTATACTACAATTTAAATCAAGTAATTAAGAATGGCTTTATCGTGGTGTTTTTAATTGCTTTCTGCCTTACCCTAGTTAATGGGAAAGAAAAATCAAGGGTTAATTAATGGGCTCTTTGGGGAACTGGCCTTGCAGGCTGTCCCCCTTTGAACTAAGAGTTCAAATATAGGATTATTACTAATTGCAGTTGGTTACATACTCCAGGGTTTTCTATTTGAGGATAACACAAAGGGATTAGAAACTTTTATTAGGTCAGCTTTCTGCTGGTACAAAAATATGTCCATTTACAAAGAATGCAATCATCAGCTGTCCATGTCTGTTGTCCATTTATAAAGAATGCTGAATAAATTATTATTCATGATTATGTACACATGTAATTAGAATAAAACTACTTTGAGGACAGACAAGGTAAGTCAAACAATTAAAATACCCTAATGCTAACCTTACACATGTTATTACCTTGAGTTGGACAGGTTCCAGGAAGCATTACTACAGAAGGTTCATAATCTGCTGGAAGTGGGCGCAGAGAGACAAGTGAATAAAAGGAATGGCTAGACCTGAAAAATCAAGACATATGCTATCATTATTCAGAGTTAGGGAGACGAGAAGAGACATTCACTGCAACTTCGGCTGTTCCATTTGTACAGCTGAGAGGAGAGAACTGAATGGAAATACTAGAAATAAAATTATTTGCAGCAGCTTCATTTACGTTTCCAGTAACAGAAACAACAAAAAAGTTCAGTCAGCGACCTAGCTGCTATTCATCCTTTCTGGTTTGTGCTTTGCCTTGAGAAGCAGTTACCACAATCTGATGAGACTACTCTGGGAACCACTGGGTCAAACAGGTACATAGAAGATGGGCTAGAAAAATGTCCCCATTTTACAAATGCTTAAACTCCCTTCCATCTATGCATATTATTTGCTTTGCAACTTAACATATAGATTGCAGAGGAGATAATGTGTTTGTCTCACTTGCTCTCTGCATATTTCTAGTTCTTGCTTTATGGTTGTGACACAATATACTAGCCTGGATAGACCATAGAGGCCCAATATTGTATGTGAGGAACTATCTTTGTGAATTCAAGTGCCATCCCCTGCTTATGAGTGTGTTGTCTGCAAAGGAGAAAGGAAAAATACTATGGCAAGAAGTAATATTGTCTGGGCCGTACTATTATTATTAAAGCAAGAATGAAATAATTACTGCTATTATAATTTAAAATCAATTTACTAATGAATGCATTTTGCCTGCTGAAGTGAGTCATTTCACAGCTATTTCTAGTATGCTATCTGTTGTGCCTTCCAACCAGGAAGACTAGTTGGTTAATGTGGTCATTTCAAGGACAACATCAAACTGGAACTTCATGGATTTTTTTTTCACGTTAGTAGAAAAATGACCTTTCAAGCACATCCTACAGTGTTTGAAAGATTATTTGCATGGAATTGCATGTATTGTACCTGTCTTCACACAACTGGAAGTTAGGATGCACAGAAAAAGGTGGCTGAGAGAATGCATCAGCTTTTGCACAAGCACATCATCATCCTGAAGCCAATCCCAATTATTTTTATTTGGGAGAAGAACGGGCATGTAGTACTACTTCTAATTTCACAATTCTAATTCACAGACTTAATGGTCTGATTTCAACAGATATGAACAGCTGTGTGTCTTAAAATGTATGACTTTTTGTTACAAGAGAACTAGTAGTCTGTATTACTTATAAAGCATAAGCTAAGCACAATTCAATATACGCATCTGTTACACTGTAGATGTTTTAGCACAAACAGACCAATGCATGTGGAAGATAATGTTTAAATGAAACTGGACTGTGCTATAGATCAGACTTTATAATCACTATCAGTTTTTTTGGTTTATGATGCAAATCCCAGACATTTTGCAAAGGATATAGGCAGCATCCTCTTGGGGAATGCAGAACAAACATTTCATAAATTTATTTCACTCATATGCAGAATAGATTAGGCAGAACGACTCTTGGAATCTAACATTCAGGAACACCCCAAGATGAATTATGTTGCCAGCAGAAGAGCAGCCAGGTTTTGCCAAATTTCCCTTTCACCCCCAAAATCAGTTCAAGAGGATTTGTGTACCCTCAGGGACACTGTGAGGGGAGGCACAGGGGGTGGCAGATGGGATGGGAAATTGATTAAGATCACTTGCACCTTCTGTTCCTCCCATGGAAGAATAGAGTCCTTTTGGCAGAAGAAAGGAGATATTCTTTTTGGAGAAGTTAGTGAGGATCCAAGCCATTTGCTATCAAGGTAGAATATTATTTCAGTTTTAAAATTAGCAGGACCAGGAGCCATTGCTATCTCTTGTGGAAACAAACTCCAAATCTTGATTATACACTGTGTAAACTAATTTACTTTGTCTACCTTTAATCTATTCATTATCGATTTCATTATGACAGCAAGTTCTAATATTGTAATTCTTTTACCACACTATTCAAATTTTAGAAGCTTCTGTCATTTTATATATAAATAGTATCACATTGACCCTCAGCTGTCTTTTCTCTAAATTAAAAGACTCCAAATACTATAATGTTTCCTTGTAAGAAGAACACCTGAAAGCCGTGATCCAGGGAAGAAATTTTTTAGTGCTTCATTTTTCTATGGAAAGATTGATGAGCTCATAGGTAAGAATGAACGAATACAAATTGCCAGTGCAATTGCAAGAGGCAAGCTTGGCAGTTTCAGACTTGTAATTAATGTTTTCAGGTGATTATCCTTTGCAATCTTTTGAGAAAATACATATGTCATTGTGATACATCTATGTCTCAGTATGCCATGGAGCAAAGTAGTGCAGCATGAATGACGACTTCCCAACAACTACAGCTGAAGAAACTTGGACTCTGCTGAAATAGGCAAGTGGTCAGCAAATTATGTGGTTGTTTGGGTTGCTAAAATTAATTACTGCAGCCTTCCTCAACCTGGTGCCCTCCAAATATGCTGGACTACAGGTCCTAACTGAACCTCTAGCCAAAAGTATCTAGAACACTGATTTAGGATGTCAACAGTCTGTATTACCTTTGTTACAACCGTAGGTTTAAGCAATGTTAGGGCTAAGTGCGCTACTGAATTAACATTTTTACAAGTATTCAAATAAAAATATAAATCATATGAAGTGTGCTTTAAATTTCTTCCTCAAATATTTGTAGCTCTAAGGATACTGGCTGTGCTCAGAAGAACCACACAACTAGCTTCATGTTTCAAATAGGTCTTTGCACTTGCTTCCTAAGCAGCAGCCTTCCCCACTCTGCCTGCCCGTAATACATGACAATCCTCTTGTAAATTGGCTTTAGCTACCCTCTTGATGCTAAAGCAAACTTGAGAAGCAGTTTTTGCCATAACATAGGAGGCACTAATCAGAATTGGATGGGAAGAAAAATCCTACTGATCCCCTTTAAAGAAGCTCTTTGAATTTTAAAGAAGCTCTTTGAGAATCATGAGCACATTTAAGTGATGGAAGTGGAATTTTCTTCCAAGCAGACAGGTTCAAAATCAAGTTATTTAGGAAGAAGTTGATCCAGTACTTAGTTGATCCAGTAGAAAAAACATTATCTTAAAAAGAATTCTCCAAAAGTCACAACTGGCATCTTCTGGATATGTACCATGGAACAATCTAACGGTATAAATGGGAACTATGATGTCTTGTAATTCTTGTACTCCAAAAAAGACATATTTAGAAAACATTCAGTAGACTTACCATAGGTAAATTCCAAGATCATCCACATGGGAAGTGGCTAGGAAATCCCCAGTTGGAGACATAGTAATGCTTACTGCTGCTGAATCTAACAGAAAACAATCAACAAGGCTGCAAAACAAAAATAGTCATATGACAGTTTACATTTCCATTAATGATATTTAATGCATAAACTAGATCCAGTTACTATTAAATTATGTCATAATCTTGGATGTTAGACAAGAAGGGTCACTCAAAGGGGTTTACTTTAATTCAGAGCAGGAGGAAGTCTTAATGGAACACATTTTAGTGGTCACTCATAGTTCAGTCTACAACATATTATCGGAGACCTACAACAACCACTTAACCCAAAACAATTCTTGATCAGTGACAAAAACCGCATAGATGCAAAACAAGGTACCAGACAAAAACATTGACTGCATTCAGGGAAAATATACCTGAGCATCATAAAATGTTCTGTATGATCTTCTGCATCAAGTGCCAATTATACTGGCAAACAAGATTAACTTTTAAGACACAGATTAAATGGGCACAAATCAGACATCAAGTCTAAGAACATCAGTCAGTAAACAGCTTAGCCTTCCTGGACATACCATTAAATGAATGAATAAATACCATCAAGAACCTGAGGGTGCAAGTTCTACAGACTGAAATCAGGGGCTGACTTGGAATGTAAGATGCAGAACAAGACTTAAGAAAATCTGATTGTGATAATCAGGGACCCAATAGGAAATGTTTTCTACAAATATTATAGATGTTCTTGGTAGTCTTTCTGGTTTCTGTTACTTTGAGAACACAGGATGCTTCCTGCAGATCTACTTGTTTAACTGCCTTTTCAGATTCAAAGTCTCCAGTTCCATTTCCAGATACTAGTCCCCACTCAGCCATGTAGCTCATTGAGTGGGCTAGTCACAGACCATCAGCCTAACCTCCTCACTGGGCTCTTGTTGTGAGGATAAAGTGGAGAGAAAGACTTTATAAGCCACTTTTGATTCTTCACAAGAGAAAAAAAGGCAGGATATAAATGCAAGAACAATAGAACCAAAGTAGCCATGAATTTAATTTATAGATTTCTTCTCTTTTGATTTAATAATCCTACTTCAGTAGGTATACCTCATCCATGGGCATGATAAACACAGATTATTATAAATGAGCAAAGCTACAACACAACTCTAAAAAACCTGAACAAAATGTTATTTTCCATTTGTTGATATGTCTGATGTTTCTGAGGGAGAAAAATCACCCACATCAAAAAGAAGAATATTCTGATCATTCATACTCAAGTTTTAACATAAAAAAATCAGAACAGAACCTACAAACATTGCTGGATGGAGAAGTCTATACACAAAATATAAAGAACACATAAAAATCCTAATATGCTAATACACCATGGTAATATATGGATAAACTTTGCATTGGAACACTCTGAGATTTTACTGATGTTCATGTTCTCTCATCTACCTGCTTTCTAGAAGTTAAGAGTCAGCACAAAAGGATCACTATGCTCTTTTCACTGTTGAAAAGCTGATATTACTTATAGTAACTCTCAATTATAGGTCCGTACTACAAATCTGCCTTGTGGTTTCAACAATGCATGTAGGTGACACATACAAGAAATACCTTAATTTACTTACCATCCAGATGGTAGATCCCAAGTCCTAATGGTACAGTCCATAGATGCAGTTATTAGCCAACGGCCATCAGGGCTGAAAGTCTACAATAATCATTCACATTTTATTTGGTAACAACACTCCACTAACAGATAAATGAGCATTTAATTTGGATCTACTTGGCAATTTTATCCTAGCCTATATAAAATTGTTGTGGCAAAGCTGAAAGCCAAACTGTCCTAGAATAGCAAGCCAGTTATTTTATACAATATAAAGCCAAATTGTGCATTATTCACTTTTGTACGTACTAAAAAGTACAAATGCTTTGAGTATGATTATGGCTATAATTACATTACATTTATATCCATTCTATCTTCCTCTTGTAAGGAATCCAAGGTGGTTATACATACATGCAGGCATATGTATATCTTGCTGATTTTTTCAAGACATAGACTCAGTTTGTCTTGGCAAAAGGTAACTTACCCAGATACAATGTAGAGACTTCACCAATACTCCTTGGATAAGTGGAGGAGATGGATAGTAAGTGGATTTTGCACATACGTACCAGCTGTACATGTTAACCTGATATATTATTGCTCTTCCTTTAACAAGTTCAGAGCAGTTTATATGGAACTCTCAGCCATTCAGGTAAAATACAGGAGTCCATGTATTCCTCCCTTCACCTCTAGAAAAGTATTAAGGCTCTAGACCAGTGGTGGCAAACCTATGGCACGCATGCTGCAGTGGGCACACAAAGCCCCCTCTGTCGGCATGCGAGCCAAGTTGCCCCAGCATTGCCCCAGCAGCCGAGCATCGGATAAGAGCGCACATAGGGGCCTTGCGCATGCTTGGAAAGGAGTAGCAGTGCCAGGGGATGATGACATGAGCCACGACTCATTAGCCGTGACTGGTCCGAGCTTTCACATGGCTGGTCAGTGTGCTGGCAAGGATGGATGGATGAATAGATAGATAGATTTGCTTGAACTGGCTGTGAGTTTTAATACATTTGTTTTTATTAACACAAGATTTTAGCTTTGAGTTTTCTTATGTATAAGTTGTTTTTTCTAAACTAAAACCTCAGTATTCAGGTTTTATTGCAGTGTTGGCACTGCGATAAAAAACTGGGTTTTGGGTTGCAGTTTGGGCACTCCGTCTCTAAAAGGTTCTCCATCACTGCTCTAGACCAATGGACCCATTTGCAAGACAAGTATTTACTTTGCCATAAATCTCAAACTAAGAAGTCTAACAAAATATAAACAAACTCTGGCGTATGTAACATTTCACACAATGTATAGTTTTACACAATGTGTAACATTTCATATAATGTATAGTATAGTAACATTTCATACATGGTACACAGACTTACCATGTCATTTATCTGGCCTTGGTGCCCTGAAAAGTTCCTCACAATTTTTCTTGTTTCTATATCCAGAACAATAATGCCAAAGTCATCCATTGCAATGCCCAGAATGCCACTGGTAAAATTCAATAGAACATAAACATTTTAAAAGATGATAAAAATGTTAACGCAAAATGTGGCACATGCTTACTACTGACGCTCTTAGGAACACTACTATTTTTCTAAGAGATAACCTAAGTGTTCGCAAAAACCTCTGAATGGACTAAAGCTAACTGGGTAAAGCTGCATGGGTTAAGCTATTTTAAACACGTTCATGAAGGGGAAAAAGAAGAAAAATTGGAAATAAAAATAGAAGGAGAGCATATTGAGCAAAATGGGCAGCTGTGTGGAGGAGGGTGATCCTACAAAGAATTTGAACATAAGAAAAAATGAGGGAGGTGGACTACATTTTGCTGCCATGAGGAATGAAACACTGTGACATACAACTATGAGTTACAAAAATGTCTACTGAAATGTCTAAGTGTTTTAATCCTTTCAGAACTTAATTTGACATATCTTGTAGTCTCACCTGTCTCTGTGAAGCAACATTTTACTTGGAGAAGTAGAGAGCTCAGTAGAATGAATAAGTTTTTTGGTCTTGAATTTCCAGAATTTGATCAATCCTTCACTTCCCGCTGTGATTGTAAGCTGGTTTAGTCCATCAACTGCCACTCCTCTTATGGACCCTTCATGAGCTTTAATAACAAAAGTGCATTAATATTCATTTCCCCACAAGTTCCACCACTTTATAGGCCCTACGAAGCAAAGCCCTGTCTACAATGATTATTTTATGTTTGCTTTATGTGGTCTCTTAAGAGCCTAAAATGTATCAAAGTAAGTAAGGCCTCTGCAGTAGGTGTTAAGTGATATTCTGAAGGTGGGGAGAAAGAAAATTTTTGCTTGCAGTATTTATAGATGGGGCTTGGATCATGTAAATTCTGTTCTGACTGGCAGGGGATTCCAGCTGGGTAGAAAAGAGCAGTTGGGAGAAGACAGCTGACAATTACCTGTTTAGCCACTCTGTTGGAAGTCAGGATGGAAGAATCTGCTAGTTGATTGGTGAGTACTATAGAAAAACTACAAGAAAGCTGAGGAGGAATTGAACAGCTATGGCCTGAATATTAAACTATTTTTTCTACATGGGATAACAAGTTTACAGTAAAAACCCGGACAGGAAGGCAGTAAAAGCCCAGACAAACTGTCCAAGAAGAGGAACATCCAGAGTCAGAGGAAAACTACTCAAAAAGCTGCACCTGGTTTTGAGTGCATTTAACTGTGGGGGAGGCCTAGGGAAGTTGGCCTGCAGTAAAAAGAAGTCATCAACACCATTGTAGTATCAAGTGGCTCTTGAATCCTTAAGAAATGTCAACAAGTAGTCTTTTGAAATCTCAGTCAGCAAGCAGTCTTTTGAAATCTCACAGGTAAATATTAATATTCTGTTGACTAAATGGTCCATGTCCTGGTGTGTGTATGCCCAAAATACATAACAGGGCACGGTTTTCTTTTAAAGAATTTATTCTCCAGAATATCCATCTATCAACAAATCGTTCCAGACTTCCGGTTGACGTCGTGGCGAGACAGCTATGAAAAACGGGGGCTCTCGTAATCACACCGGTAATCTGTTCGACAGTGAGCTGCTAGAGGCTCATCCAAGCCCTGTCAGGGCTGGGAATACAAGCCTGAGCATACTTCTGGGCGATGTGGGGCAGTGGCTCCACATTTACTGGGAGAAACTCAGGATTTTCTCAATTGAACAACACAGGGGAGAGATCTGCTCCCTGCAAGCCATAAACGACTGGATATAGCATAGAATAAAAGCTTGAAGTTCATCGGACCTGCTAGGTGAGCATTTCTACCTTTTCAATATTACCCGTGAAAGAACTGAAGCAGATACTAATTGGGACAAAGAAGAAAGAAAAGCCCCCTTGACGGAGGGCGGAATTCCCGCCCCCCACCCTGCGGAGTTTAAGTGATGACTAATCTAGGGGACTTCAAAAACGAAAATTAGATACAATTTGTCTACAAGAAACATATTTCTAAGAGGAACCCTTAGTAACAATGCCTAAACTACCACAAAGGATTGAAGAGTATGGAGAGGTTACTGGGATGAAAATAAATAGGGAAAAGACAAAATTGTTAGTAAAAAATCTCACACAGGAGCAGAGAAAAACTCTGGTGGAACAAGAAGACTTTCAGATTGTTAAAAAGGTTAAATATTTGGGAATTTATCTTACAGCTAAGTGCACCACTCTGAAAGAAGACAATTATGATAAACTATTTAAGGATATTAAGAGTGATTTGGAAAAATGGGCTAATCTGCAATTATCCTTATCCTTGCTGGGAAGAATAGCACTAGTTAAAATGAATATATTACCAAAGCTTTTGTTTCTATTCCAAATGATTCCCATGAAAATTGATAGAAATTTTTTTGATGATTTAAATTTTCAAATCTCGAGATTTATATGGAGAAAGAAGCAGCCAAGGTTTAAACTAAAAATACTTCAGGAGGCTAAAGAGAATGGGGGCTTTGGTCTCCCTGACTGGATGGTGTATTACCAAGCTTCTGTTTTAACGTGGTTAAAAGAATGGATAACTTTAAGAAATAAGAGCATCTTGTATCTTGAAGGGCATGATTTGCAAATGGGTTGGCATGCTTATATGTGGTATGAGAAGGCTAAGGTACCTGGCTCTTTTTTAAGTCACTATTATTAGGAAATCATTAATGTCGGTCTGGGAAAAGTTAAAGACAAAATTGTATAATAAATAACAAGATGGCTTTCACCTATGGAAGCTCTTGTACATCCAAATGCATTGAACTTTGAAGGGAGCATAAGGTATGATGACATTTTGGATAATGATGGAGGACTGAAATTGAATCAAGAAATACAAGAACAAGGATCTAATATTTCTTGGTGGCATAAGGTGCAGATACAATCGAGATATGCTAAAGACTATAAAATGTGGGGCTTTTATAAAGATTTAACAGCATTTGATCAGGTGATGCTCAAATCAGATGAGAAAATGATTAAAAGACTATATAATTTCTTACTAGATAGGAGAATGGAAGGTGAACAGGTTAAGGAAACTATGACAATGTGCGCACAAAACTTTGGATATAATATTGAATTAGAAAAATGGCAAAAGCTGTGGGAGAGAAATATTAAGGTAACATTAGCAACTTCATATAAAGAAAACTTGTATAAAATGTTTTATAGATGGTATCTGTCACCAAATAGATTAGCTAAGATGTTTCCAAATATGTCAAATGGATGTTGGAAATGTAAACATAAATTGAGTACTTTCTATCGTATGTGGTGACCTTGCGATAATGCGAAAAAAGTATTGGATTAAAATACATAAATGGCTTGAGGAAATTTTACAAAAATCCTTAGCTTTTAAACATGAATTTTTCTTATTAGGCATTATACCTGTTGATACTAATAAACAAGAAATGTACTTGATTTTACATGTAATTACTGCGGCGAGGATTGCATTTGTTCAACATTGGAAAATTGAAGAACCACCCACCGATGAACTGATTCTAAAAAAGATCTTGGACTGTGCAGAAATGGACAGATTGTCATTGAAGGAGAAAGAAGATACTGATTTCTAGCAAACTTGGGACTCCTTTTATTATTGGCTAGAGAAATGGGACTTCGTGTAGATTTAAATATGTTTTTAAGTTATAATAAATAGAAAAAAATGTGGGGGCTGACCCAGTAGGTCCAATGTTTCTGATGATAGATGTTTTTAGTTTTCCTTTGTTTTAGGGTTATTTTGAATAAAACTTATTATAAAAAACAACAACAAATCATTCCAGATGGTGCACCTGAGCAGTCCTCAGTTGGCCTTTTTATGCATTGATCATTAAAGGGTTACATGAAGCATAGTTAACATTTTCCAATAGGTTACAGAAGTAAAAAGGCACACTGGCGTGATCTTTCCCACTTGCATACCAATAAAGATGCTCCAAAGGAGGAGGAAGGATGGGTTGCTATTACATAGAAGAGGAGGAGGATGGGGTGGGCTTGTGTGAATTGCCCTTTGTTTGCGCTGCTGTTATCTGTCAAGTGCCAACTAGCTTTCTCTGGAATGGTGCCTGGTCAGTGTCAGCTACATTTCAAGGATGCACACATGCTGATTTCTAGAAAGGACAGTTTTTTCCAGGTCTGGTTATGTGTCTTTATTATGTCTTCAATAAATTAACTTAATAGCTTATCTTGCCTCAAGTGTTGGTGCTAATCTCGTGCTTCGAAACATCAAAATACTGTTAGTCAGAAGGGGTCTCCCAGGCCATCTAGTCTGACCCCCAGCTTCGCTTATGATATGCCTACCATTTTTATACCTAGTTAGTAGGAGTTTTATAATATTCTAAGACAACTGATGGCAGCCAAAGAGAGTCATCTTGGAGTACTCCTGAGTTACACAGGCAGAGAGTTCCTTAGGCATTTACTAAAATAAGAAACTCCACTGGTAGAATTGCTCAGTAAAGGGGCAGTTTCCCCATAAGTGGTGGCAGTGCTGGGGACAGAAAATTTATAGAACCATAGGTTCTATAAAACGAAAGGTTAAAACAAAAGCAAAGGTCTATGAATTATTGACACATATCTGAAAACTACATAGATCCTAGGCATCTCTCTCAATCAAAGCAATACACCATCTTTCAAGAAATAGATATTCCTGAGAACTGATCAATCTAGGAGTTCTATCATCTTTTTTCCTTTAACAGGACACATTCTATTAATTATGGAATAGAGACTTTCAGTTCAAGCAGTCAGTAAAGTCCCTTTCCTTACTTTGCATGGCAATTCCAATTCACCAAATACAGTGGTACCTTGGTTCATAAACTTAATTGATTTCACGATTCTGGTCACAAACCAAATTGGTCACAAACTGAATCAAATTTCTCCACAAGGTTCAATGTAAATAACCATATGTATTTTTTTAACCACAAAAATATGAAACAAAGTACAGTACAGTATGAAGAGAGAGAACACTAACCTTGCTTGAGGTGACTTCTGGCGTGAAGGACAGGAAGGTGGGTGGGGAGGAGGTTATTATTTGGAGGGAGAGTCTGTGACCGTGATCTCGACTAGAGGAAGCCGCAACCACGTGTCAGAGCAGGGAAAATGGCCGCATTCATATTTGTGTGGGGAAGATGGCCATGATCATGTTCAGCACTTGATGCGGAGTTCGCAAATGGAAGCAAACTTTTGCCAAACTTTCTGTTCGCGAACTGAAATGTTTGCGGACAGAACTGAGGTATTACTGTACCTTAGGAAATGTTGCCTTATCAAATTGAAATTTATTATTGCAGAGGCAACTTAACTGTTCATTGCATAAACAGAGGGTAGGAAAATGTATTAGAATTTAAAAAACATGCCTACTTCAACATTAAGTAGCTATACATACCTTTACCATGGCTCATGAGTTGGACTTGATGGCCATATAGGCCCCTTCCAAATCTATATAGAATCCTACAATTCTATGATTTTCTAATCCAGATCACTTTGCAGGCAGGCAATGGTCCCTTTCAGTACTGTTTAGCTACAGCCAATGGTCAATTTTATGCTAAAGTTTCTCTATGAACTCATCTCTCAACTTCTTCATTCCAACACATCAAGTCCAAAGGTTGAACTTAACGTGGCAGCAGCTTTCATATAATTGAAATTATAGCCATATATTTATCATACCATATATTCTACATTCTAAATTGCTCTTAAGAGCAATTCATGAACTCATACCCAGTTCCCCAACACAAAGAATGTGGTATGCAGTTGGACAAGCTCTCATCTAGCCCTGTTTGTATATGTCTCACTGATACACAGGGATATACAGGCAGAAAGAAATCCAGCTCAAGGCAATGAAAGGTTAATCTGTGGACCCATTTCCCTTTTCAGGCCTCTTTCTCTTGGGATACTTTGAACAAGCTGAGGTGATTTACCACTTTTAATCAGATTGGTGCTGGACAGTTCCATCCTCAAGGCCATAGGCCTGCTATAGCTAAATCCACCTTAACCATTCTCAGCTGGAAGGATTGTAGAAAGATGACCTCATCTGAAGAAGACAAGGTACATAGTAGGCTGGGAAACCTATCTATCCCATTACCAAGGGAGGGAGTTAAAGGGCCACCCCAGAGAGGACTTCTTTGTCTCCCTCTTCCTAGTGATGTCAACTGACTCTGGTGTGTAGTCTGAAGCAAGACTTGGCTAGATTTCTGCTCCATGAGAGACACTTCAGGAAGGTGTTAGGTAGCTAAGTTAGTTTTTGTTATTTTTGTGACTCAAGGGAATATATTAAAGGAATCTGTATAAGTTATTTTGTAGTCCTATTCTCTTCCCTTCCCCAGTTTTATTCCCTTTTGCTTTTGGAATAGGACTTAGATATATTTCATTTGGTTACAGATTCTTCCAATTCTACTTAAAACTAATTTCAGTGCCTCAGACCAAGTGACCAATTACCTAATTGCTTCAGGTTGTGGTAACTGTAACAGAGGGATGCAGCTTTCCCCCTTATTCCAGTTCTCCTCAGGTGTGTAAGACCTGATGTCCCCTTCCCTGCATTGTAGTGGACTATTAAGGGTGGTTGCAGCCTACTTGTCAGATTTACCTTGTCTAACTTGCAGGAAGGTTGTGTGGCTTTGGTCCTTCATTTCTTGACAATGGGCACTTACTCCAAACAGACAGTACATACTGGACATGCACTTAGCTTGCATGAGTGAATGATTTATGCTTAACAGATTAGGGGTTGTTTATGACTACATCAAATCAAGCAGGCCTACTCATATGCTTTGCTTTGCTGTCGTGATCTGTGAACCGGACATTGAGTTATGGATTCTAATTGTGTTAAACTTTGGCTTGTTTAATCCTAGAGTGCCAAGTCTGCTTTTCATGATAACAACCAACATTGGTTAAGCCAAATCTAAAGTGGCAATGACAAACATGTAGTGTGTGCAGACGAGCATGGCCTTGCATAATTGTGAGTTATGTAATCCACAGTTAGCCATTATATGTGAACAAGGTCATAGTATTATTTATAGGTTTGTATAGGCCTGGGACCCACACACTATGATCTCTCTCTCCATCCCTCTCTCAAAACGCCAACCATATGGTTACAGGCAAATGTTATGAGAATGCACCATCAACTCCAGAAAACAAACTAGCTCAACATAAAAATCATTTTCTGCACAGAACAAATACTGAAGCTATCATTATTTTAAAGACCTGGAATGTTACCATTTTCTTTGCCAAAACGTCCTCTGTGAATACCAGACTGCATGTTGTATACATCGACATGTCCAGTTGTAAGTCCAATTACAGCAAAGTTTCCACAGGAAGTGATATCTACAGCCTTCAAGGGAAAAGAAACTAAATTATTTTTTGTTAGAAGTACCAAAAACTTTTTAGAATGAGTTTCTTGCTACTTTTCAAAGTCAAGATGAAATGTGCTCTATACAAAGAAGCTTATCTTCCTGTGCATGAAGATGCACTGTATTATTATGACAAAGAATACCTAATTCTTAAATGTGCAAATAACTATTATTCAGTACAAGCTGATTCTATTTTTATTGTATGTTACAGAATAAAATATAAACATAATGAACAAACAAACAAAAAAGAAAAAATATAATTACGGGAGGGTTACATAAGGTTTAAAGAAAACTTTAACACTAAATACATACTTTAAATATCCCTATGTATTTGTATGTAACAAGACATACATGTTACTTTAAAAATAATTAGGCATAAACTTCAAAGTCAGCACAAATGTCCATACATTTATGCATTTGTAAATTATTCCTTAGGACCACCTGTTCAAAAATAGAAGTTTATTAAGTTCCCCACCCATTCTGTTATCCCAGTAGTCTTTTATCCATCCAATATTGTAGTACGATTTTTTTAGCTGCCAAAAGGGCACAAACATCCATTTGCACTTGTGTTAAATTCCAAGATATGGACCCATAATTAAGAAAATCATGTATCACTGAATCTTAAAGAACTTTTTGTTTATTTATTTATATGCCATCCTATCGTGAAAGCCTCAGGATGGCTCACATAGATAAAATACAATAAAATATAACATAAATAAAATTATCGACCCACACTGGATGCACATCATCACAAAAGTTATTGGAATTATGACCTTCTTCCAAAAGAAAGCAGGTACTGGGCATTACCAAAACATATGAGGAAAAGAAACTTTAGCTGCATTGCATCTTCAACAACTGGATGATTTAATCAAGCCCTTATCAGCCATTGCTGACAATTTATAGTTAGCATGCAAAGTGGAAAATGGCAGAAAGCTATCAGCAGAACCAACAAGCTGATCCAAGGTAAAAATCCACCTATCCATCCACAGCAATCAAACAAACATTTTCTTGCTAATCTTTAAATACAGATTTTCCCATAGAGTTAATTTTGCATGTAAAAATAAAACAAATTGCAAGTGACATGAAAATAATGTGCCACACCATTCTAACTGTAATTACAGCAGATGGTACATTATCTGTTCTGGTTTAGTGGGAACCCAATACAATCTATTCGAGAGGAAGATCAAAACATGAAGAATCCAGCAATGGCCAGGGAGAGGAATCTAGTCCAAGTGGAAAAACCAGAACCTAGTACAAGTTAACAGATAAGCCCAATGATATAAGGGAAGAGTGGGGAAACAAAACGCATCCTCTTTAATCAAAAGCTGCATCCTTTTCAAGGATATTCATGATAGCGCAGAACTCCATTAAAAATTATGAAACAAAATATTAACCTTCTGAAAATACTTGCCAGATATAAAATTGATTCTACCTTCAAATGCTTGCATGGATAAGTTTCTGAACATCAAAAATGCATTATGTGCATATTAGGTAAATACTTAATAGTCTGAATTAATGTTTATTTTGACTATATTTAACTTTTAATAGAAATTCTTCTGAACTGCAAGTTTCATACCAGTAGATTATATGTTATTTAAAGAATCATCTTCCCCAATCAATCAAATATGTATAAACTTACCGTGGCATATACGCCAAGCGGTTTATTTTTGCTGAAGTCTTCTGGTTTCAGTTTATGGATTCCCATTGAGGATTTCTGATAATTCCAGGTAGTACAGGTTACATAACCTTGATGGCAAGCAATGATTCCATCCCAGTCACTTTGACGGGCTACCTCTGCAACACAATAAAAACTGATTAACTTTAAAACTGTTACTCAAGAAGCAATTATCAATTGTAAAAGAAACTGCATGCATTTAAACAACTCTCTAACAGAGTAACATTGGATCACAGTAGCTGAAGTAAAAAGTTTTCAAGTTTACCATTATCCTAACCATATGGCATCTAGAACAATGAAATGCTTGAGGAGACAGACTGCTTCCTTGTAACTGTAGTTCTTCGAGTGATCATCTGTGCTTATTCAGGAAGCTTCAATAGCTTTGGAATTTTTAGCAGAAAACTTCCCCTGTTGTCTCAGTATGCATATCCTTAGAAGATTCCATGAGAATGACCATTGTAGCCTTAGTACCTCAATACTGACACTAAAGCAGAAACAGTAGCTGTGAATGCTCACGTGACCATTCGAAGAACAGTTCCAGGTAAGTAATCTATACTTCTTCCTGGTCTTTGTGCATCACAGATATGGGCCAATAGCCAACTTACTTATTGGGGTGAGTTGACATTCTATTTTAAGTGAGCAAACAGAACTGTACGGCTGAAGCAACTGTCTGTTCTGATCCACAAATCAAGGCTGATAAATGATGTTGCCCTATCAAATCAAGTGTGCTTGGACTGGATCTGAATGGACAGGGTCAGCCTGTTCCTATACTTATTTGGTAGTGTAATGACCCAGAATGACAGTCTCCAAGATGGTGTTGGTAATCTTCGCTATTTGCCACCATAAGCACACAAGTAAGTGAGGGGACTGCTAAAAGAAGTCTGTCCTTGACTTACAAAGACTTAACACTCTTCAGACATCCAATGTATAAAGAGTAGATTCAGTCAAAGAAGGAGATTGAAAGAAAAATGGCTGTACAATGTCCTGATTTACGTAAGTGGAACTCCGATACCACCTTAGGCAGGAATGTGATGCTGGGACAGAACACTATCATATCATGATGGAAAATCATAATAAGGTAGGTCCATACACAGCACATACTGTTTGTTGAGCTAGCACAGACATCAGAAAGGCAGTTTCCCAAACAGGAGCTGCAGATTTGCAACTGAAGGCAGTTGGAATGGCTTGATAAGAGTTGCAGAACAACTAACAAGCTTCAAGTCAGTACTGAAAAATGACATGGAAGATCTAGATTCCATACTTTTCAAAGAAACTGCTTAATAAACAGATGTAAAAATGTAAAAAAAAAAAGAGTTAGCTGACACAAAAATTCCTAGGAAATAAAAGTGTTAAACCCCTGTAGTGAAGAGACAAGTGCAACTGGTACCAAACAGGGGGAAAGTCAAGAGTGGCAGCAAAGATCAAACAGATGCTCACTTAATTGGTACTGGAACATATTATAGATGGCATGAGGGCAGCATGCAATGCACAGTACTACGTGAAGACCAAAGGATTGGAAAAGGTCAATGGATCTTCCATACCATCACATATACAGTGCTGAGGATGGATACCAGATCTTGACTTGACACTCTGAAATTAGGTCTGGTTTTGGTAAAAGCTGGCGACACTACCCATGGGACAGCTGCAATATAGGGGCAAACCAAAGCTGTCATGGTCAACACAGTATGATCAGGATACAAATGGTGCCATCCATCCTTATCTTCACATGCACTTCCATTGTTAGTGGAAGGGGTAAGAAAAGATAAGATAGTGTTTCTGCCTGCTGAAAGAGAAAGGCATCCCCTATGGTCTCCTTGCCCATCTCTGCTCTGCTGTGGAACGTCAGACAAATTGTGCTGACTGACCAGGTGAACAAGTGTAACTTCTTCATGCCCCAATGGCAGAACAGGCCTTCTAAAACTATGCAGACCAGCTCCCACTTGTTAGAAACCAAGTAGGTTCAACGCAACCAGCCAACTAGGGTGTTGTCCACTCCAGAAATATGCACTGCAACCACACAACTTCAAAAGGAAAGATTTGAGACAATGAGGGCTGAAGGAAGGGAAATCCTACACTGAAGCCAGAAGCCTCCACTCACCATACTGAAATGTTCACCACTTCTCAACACAGACAGATGCACTGAGTATCCCAGAGAGGACTGAACACCCAGATGAATGCATTTTGAAACTACCTCAATCTTTGCCATCATCCCCAAAACTTGCTGGAACTATACTATTCAGATATTATTCTGAGATAATACTTCTCCTGCATGGCATGTCAATGTTGATACACCACCCAGATGCTGGAACACTTGGCCCACTGTAGAACAAAGGCTGTCTCAATGAACTGGATTTTCTGTTCAGTTTCAAATGGGAGTTCTCTAAGTTCAGACTGAGACCAAGATCTGACAGAAAGTGACACAGCAGGAAGGCAGCCCACACATGATTTCCTCTCTTGAGGACATCAGCAGCAGTCAATTTGAATAAGAGTACACAGCCATCTCTTGGACATGAAGCTCCACTACAGAAGACACTTGATGCAGAGGTAAGTCCCATGGGCAAAGTGTGACACTTATAGGAGTCAGTAGCAATGGTAAATTGCAGGAAATGTCAGCGTTTCCATTTGATGGAAATATGCTTCCTTCAGATCTATGGTTGTGAACCAGTCCCTTTACAAAGAAGCAGAAGCATGGGTGTCCACACAGCCATCTAGAATCCTGTGCAGGTAATAATCATGTCCCTGAGATCCAGAACCTAGTGAAGCCCCCCTTCCCACCCCACTTTTGAAACAATGACGTGACAAGTTCAGAAAAAACTGTGAAGATCATGCTAGTACTATTCAGTAATATTCCATAAGAATTAAATGCATTAGAATTAGTTACATTAAAACTAATTTCTATTTGGGGCAGGAAAAAGTGCTATTGTTCATACTGCGGGAGTTTATACAATAAAACAAGGGCACAGTCTAATCAGGATGCTCATGAGCCTTTGAGCTTGGAGGCTTACAGGCCTTCTGTGCAGAGAGACAGGAGCAACAGAGGCAATTCCCACCTCCCAACTCCGCTCACTTTGCATTTTTGCTAGATGGCAACTTACAGCTGTTTAGCTGGGATGCTTCAGAATGGAAAGAAGAGGACACAGGATATATTGTACTCAGGCCTCTGCAATCTCCTCCCTGCCCTTTAGTCCTTTTCTAAAACTGAGTTTCTGACCTTGGAGAGGTAGCTGGCATGGTTATTTTCACACCAGCTGCAAGATGGTGGGCACAGAGGAGGGTAGAGTATAGATTCTTAGTTCTGAAGTTTTTGAGCTTGGATCTACAAATCCATGGTATCCTGTGGCCACCAAATGATGTCCAGGGGCCACAGGATTGTTCCCTAAGCTGCTCACTGCTTCATATAAAGTGAAGAATTACATACCTGCTGCATATAAAGTGAAGAATTACATACCTGCTGCAAATGTTGTAATGGGTGGAAGTGCCATTGTATCATACTGAAGGCCTTTCTTTTTTGATTTCTTTTTATTGATGGAACCTTTAAAATATGAGAAATGTGGCAGATGCATGTTATACACTGACAATTTTATACCTTAGGGAAAGTTTAGTTTCCTATCCCTGCTCTACCACCAATCATTTGCAGCTGTGTTCCATCAAAGCAAATCACAATGACATTCAGGGAGAGTTGGTTTCAAAAAATAAGTCAAATACTTTAATTGGAAGAGTTTTGCTGTCTCAGTCTTTCTTCTTCGTATACAATTTCCACTTGTTCAGTAGGATGCAACTCAGAACTACGTCTCTACATTATACCAATAATTAAAACAAATTTCAAGTTTCTCTCCAAAGTTTATAATCAAACCCCTCACAGGATATGTGTATCACTCCTTGAATAAATACAAAGCTTTTTCGAGTGGTGCAAGGCCTGGTTCGCCTGGGTCCTAAGGAAGATCCGATGCCACCCTCAAAGGCCCGCTGTGACGACTTTGCCAGGCATTTCAGGGAGAAAATCGCTCAGATTCGTCACGAGCTGGACTCCACTAATGAATCAGAGGTCTCTGAGGAGTCGCCAATGCCACCGGCTGATCCAAAATTACTGGAGGAATTTCAATTATTGCGGCCCAATGATGTGGACAAGGTGCTTGGAAGAGTACGTCCCACCACGTGCCTATTGGATCCTTGCCCGTCTTGGTTAATAAATAACTCCAAGCACGGGATTGGGACCTGGATTTTGGAAGTGGTTAACGCTTCTCTGAGGGAGGGTCGAGTGCCTGCCCCTTTAAGGAGGCGGTAATACGACCGGTCCTGAAGAAAGCGTCACTGGATCCAGAGATGGCCACTAACTATAGACCTGTGGCCAACATCCCGTTTCTGGGCAAGGTGCTGGAGCGAGTGGTGGCGGGACAACTCCAAGCACTCTTGGAGGAAACTGATTATCTGGATCCTTTTCAGTCCGGCTTCAGACCCGGGTACAGTACTGAATCTGCCTTGGTCGCCCTGTACGACGACCTGTGCAGGGAGAAGGACAGGGGGAGTACATCCCTGTTGGTTCTTCTGGACCTCTCGGCGGCTTTCGATACCATCGACCATGGTATCCTTCTGGATAGACTTGCGGGATTGGGGGTTGGAGGCACTGCTTTGCAGTGGTTCCGCTCCTATCTCGACGGTCGATTCCAGAAGGTAGTGCTGGGGGACCATGTCTCTACGTCGTGGCAGCTATGCCATGGGGTACCACAGGGCTCCATTCTATCCCCTCTGCTATTTAACATCTATATGAAACCGCTGGGAGAGGTCATCAGGAGGTGTGGGCTGCGGAATCATCAATACGCCGATGATACCCAGCTTTACCTCTCATTCTCCACTAATCCAGGTGAGGCAGTGGCTGTGCTGAACCGGTGCTTGGCCGAGGTAAGGGAATGGATGAGGGCCAATAAACTGAAACTCAATTCAGACAAGACGGAGGTCCTGTTGGTTGGCGGATTGGGTTTCGGAGAGGGTGGATTTGACCTGGTCCTGAATGGTGCAACACTCCCTCTTAGGGATAAGGTCCACAGCTTAGGAGTACTCCTCGACCCGGAGCTTTCTTTGGAAGCTCAGGTGACAGCGGTAGCGAGGAACGCCTTCCTTCAGCTTCGGCTGATTAATCAGCTGCGCCCCTACCTGGAATACGACTGCCTGGCGACGGTGACACACGCGCTGGTGACTTCCCGCCTAGACTTCTGTAACGCGCTTTACGTGGGGCTTCCCCTGAAGACAGTCCGAACACTTCAATTGGTGCAAAATAGAGCTGCCAGGTTGCTGACGGGGACGGGGCGTTATGCTCACATGACTCCAGTCCTCCATCAGCTTCACTGGCTTCCCATTGAAGCCCGGGCCCAATTCAAGGTGTTGATTATGACCTACAAAGCCCTAAACGGCTTGGGTCCTGGCTACCTGAACGAGCGCTTACGTCCGTATATGCCCGACCGCCCTTTGAGATCTGCGGGAGAGTCCCTTCTCCGGGAACCCTCCATGAAAGAAATTAGGAGAGTAAGTACCCGGAGGAGGGCTTTCTCTGTGGTGGCGCCCAACCTATGGAATTCACTCCCCAAAGAGGTCCGCCTGGCACCGTCGTTACTGGTTTTTCGGCGCCAGGTAAAGACCTTTTTATTTAAACATCATTTCAATTGTTAAAACATATGATCTGGCCTGGGCAACTTCTTCTTCCTTCTCTTTCTCCTCCTATATTTTTATTTTATACTGATAATTTTAATTTTGTATTTGTAAATCAATGTATTTTTGTATTTTTATATTTAATGGTAATTTATTATGTACTATTGTATTTCAATGTATTTTATCATGTTGTAAGCCGCCCCGAGGTTTCGGCAAGGGGCGGCATAGAAATGTTATAATAATAATAATAATAATGATGATGATGATGATGATAATAACAATAATAATAAAGTCACAAGTAAACTAGGGCATACTGAAAAGGCATCTAATATTTGTACAAGTTCAATATATCAAAGTATTTTAACATTTGATTATTTATTATAAAGTCACACTCACCACGTCCTAAGCTTTTATTGAATCTTTCATGTACTGTGGAAAATGTTTGCAAGGTACCATCTTGACCTACAATATAATGTTAAGAAAAGGGAAGTTCATCTCTATGAAAAGCATCATCTTTGACATGCTTATTCACCTTTAAATTTAAACAGTTATAAATTGAATTCTGCATTTACAATAACATCAGCTAATTTATGGTTATCAACAGCTTTTGAAAGTATTCTCAAATTATGAAATATGTTATGATACTGTAGACAAAAAAATCCTTCAAAAGAATGATTGCAACACCCCTAATACTTCCTGAAATGTAAGGAATGTAAAACTATAGAGTAAAAAAAAAATGATCATACTACATTCAAGCCAGAACCTGTATTTTGGAGCACTGACTAATGCTTACTCATTTCAAACTGAACTTTTAAATCAGAACTACTACGTGTAAGATCAAACCACTTGCTCCAAAACATTGTTACTCATTTCAACAGAAGTAACTGAATACATTCTTACTGGCACTAAGAATCTGCTGCCCGTTTTGCCCATGATATCTGATTTTTGTTGGAGGTGCACTATGTCCCATCCGGTACCTCAGCAATCTACCATTTCCACCAGGGCCATCAAAGATCCATACCTATTCAATAAGCAAACAACAGTGGCAAGGAAATCTACACTGGAAAAGGTTTAAACACAAGTCACATAAGCAGTAAGTAAATACAGAGAAAAAAGACACTAAAAACCCATGGTAGCTCAATATGTGGCAGCACACATCTATTATATTTAGGAACGTGCAAAACTTTCTCCCTGCATTTTTACAGGGATTAAAAATGAATGACACTGCATGTGTGGGGTATTTATCTCCCAAAGTGGCTAATTTTGCAATGATGGGTCAGACATGAAAGCTACTGTACATTCTCTGCTGCTCACTTTACAGCTTCCCATGGTTATACATCATTATTTTCTGAGGCATATTTTGGATGCATACATTTTTTTCTTGTTAAAACAAACTTGTAAGAGGACAAAGAAAAGAAAATGACATGAGACGTGCAATTGCTCATAATCTACTATGGAAGCTGGAGCACAGAGCTCTAGGGCAGCTGATAATCCAACAAAAGTACAGCAACGATTGAAGCCTTTCAATAAACCCTGCTTGGTCTTTCTTTTCTTTTTCCTTTACTGGTGCATTATTCACAGCTGATTTGTTTTCTCCTCTGGATAATAACCATCTCTTGAGTAGCCCCTCTTCTACAAGTGCAGCTCTCTAGCAGTCAGATGGGGCCTATTCTGGTGTCTCTGTTTTTGCCACTAGGTCTGCTGCCAATTTTGCTGTGGAAACCAAGATGAGGAAGGTGAGCCATGGGATGAGTCTGGGTTCAAGAGAGGTTCAAAGAGTTACTAGGCAAGCCATTGCAGCTTCACTGCCCTTAGTGTTCCCCCAGTTCCTCTTCCTATGGTTACACTGCTTTCCTGATTTCACCATCATAGTTCATAAGAAAACTTTTCATGGATTCTCCCTATAGTTAAGGAACTAGTTGCTATTTTTGGGGCAGTTTTGCAGTTTTAGTTCCATTGTGTTTGTAAGCACCTCATACATGAATCATCACAGAACTATCAGCAGGGAAAATGAAAAATAAACTCATACAATCCATAAAACTTACTCTGATAGCATTATCCGAACCATTCGTAATGAGAAGTGGCTCTCCTTGAACAAATGACATGCCTGAAATTGCTGTGGAATGTGCATCTCTCATCTGGCCCAAAAGTTTCTTTTCTTCTAGATCCCACAAGCCAATATGCCCAATAGGACTTCCAGCAGCCATAACTGGATGTCCATCTGTTCACATAAAGAAAAAAAGACCAAAGATAAATACAGATTTAGCATGAGACTGAAACAAATCAGTTTTTTAAAGATCTCACAAACTCAAAGAAGAAAATTAAGAAAGGATAATTTGTAACAGTTGATAGTGGAGATTATATTTGAATGATTTTTATGTTTAAGTTTTGGCTCAAGTTTGGGATCCATTTGATCCTTTAACTTACTTGAACATTTTTCAGTATTATACATTTTCAGTTAATGCTGATACTTACCTGTTCGGAATGATATTGTTGTTATGGGACCCCAGTCTTGTTGAAATTTCATTAGTATTTCATCAAACTTAATATTGTGCACTATGATATGACCAGACACAAGGCCTACTGCAACTACATCTACTGCTGGCGCCTGCAAAAAACATTTATCATGATTAAACAGAAATTACTTTAGATTTTAAGATGGCACAAAATGTTCTTAACAGGGCTCAGTCTAATGTAGATTACATTGTACTATCACAGAATACTTTAGCACAATAAGCTAAGACAATGTTACACTGAGAGTACTGAATGTGATTTACATTAATAGTTGTGCCCCTTTGGATACTACCCACTCAAAACTGTTTCTGGGCACACTCTACTGAAAATAGCAAGAATCAATATCAATATCTGCAAAAGTATGTCAGTTCATTCCAATGAGCCTTTGCTCTTCCATGGAACAAGGAAATCTTGTTATGTTGATCCATGCTTTTCTAACACCAAAGTTTGAATATTTTAATACACCTTTTAAACTAAATTATGATAGAGTAATTGTACACAGAGATAATAAACTGAAGTTGAATGGTGCTTAAACATCCAGCTTGATTTTGGCAAATGTTAAACATTATTGACCTGGTTCACAAGTTATGACAGACCATAGTACAACCCACAAGTTGCACTTCAAGCAGAGCAGACATGCTACCTCTCACATACAGCCAGCTTTTTCCTAGGTTGTTCAGCATCATGTCTGAATATGGAAACTGGGTTGTTTAACACTAAACAGCAGTGGTAAATCCATGAGTTGTTATCAGGTTAACTACTGGGATGTTCTGTCCTTATACAACCCAGTGTTCTGAGTTCACACATCACACGCCGCAACCTGAAAATAGGCTGATTATAGGTTGTTGATTAAAAGCAGAATTGGCTTCTGTGCTGCAAGCAGCATGCTTGGTGTTCCTTCAGAGCTTATGGCTGTTTAACCTATGGAATATCATTATGTGAGAACTGATTCTCTATTTAAAATAGGAGCATGGAAACAAATTTTATCTTGGCAAATCACTTAAGTGCTAGGCAAGAGATACCAACATAGAAACAGGAAAAAAAGGAGGGCAGAAACTTGAGGTGCCACAATGTGTTTGGTCTTTCATTGTGGAAGAAAGACAAATGAGTACATTTTGCACATTTTTGTGCCAGCGATTTTATTTTATTCATCACATTTATTGGCTGCCTCTTTTCCTGCAAAAAACCAAGACAACTTACACAATGCTCCTCTCTACTTTATCCTCACAACAACCCTGTGAAGTAGATAAGGCTGAGGGTCAAGTAACTGGTCCAAAATCAACCAGTGAGGTTTGTAGCTGAGGAGAATCTAGAACCAGGACCTTCCAACAAGCAGTCTAACCTCTAAGCCATACTGGCTAGGTTATTTCTTTTATCTAAGTTAGGATTATATCCTTCCATCTGTAGTGAGGAAAAAAGTACTTGTTGGATAGCTGTCTTGCAAACACTGCCTCAGAGATAATGATGCTCTCTGTCAGTAGCCTGATAAGACATAAATAAATTCTAGACAGGTAACTAAAGGAAAGACTTAGCAGTATGGCTCGAACCTTTCTGGCTTAACCAAAAATATTCATAAAGTATTCTCAAAAAATGTCAAGAAAAAAGGTATTTGTTGCTATGTTTTCATTTTTAAAAGCCCCAACAAGTCACACTTACCTGTTGAAGTACCGTCACTCCTGCACCCCATCCTGGAAATGTATATAAAAGTTTGCTGGGGGGTAAGCAAGAGAAAAGTTACGTAAGTTTAATGTCATGAAAAAAATTACACCAAGAAAATTAGGCAAAACACAGCATACCAAGAAGAAATCTGTAAGCCCCTAGTAATGCAATCAACTCTGCACTGGATAATCAATTAGCTATTAACCCCCCCCCCCCTCCGCTGTTAAAATTAAGCCCTCTTAACATCAGCTGCCAAAATTTGGGCACTGAGATACAACCGAAATGTGATCACTCAAGTCTTCGTAGTGTGGCTGACCTTCTGCCTCTGTGGTGTGTCTGATGTCACTCTACCTGTTGGGGTCTATGGATAGTAAACCCCCTTAGATCAACTGGTGATCTTTTTGTTCAGGTATCCCTTGGCATCTGTTCTCACCCCTTTTACATTTCTAACACTCTAATGTTAGAGAAAATGTTATGCTTCTTGCAAGCAACACCACTTTTTGCCCTAGCTATGCTAAAAAAGTAACAAATTAAGAACTAAATTCTGAAACTCCTGTTACTAGACAGCCCTGTCCATTTAGATAAGCAGGATATAAACTAAAAAGCAACCAAAAACTCCACCAAGAGAAGCTTTAAATCAGGCTTTTAGATTTAAGCTCTTTTCTTGACTTAGAAAAAGGCTTAAGAAAAAGCATGTTTTGAACTAGAGATTCATTACATTTGCTTCCACAAGCATATTAGTTGCTGTACGAGCCAATCGAGCAAAACAATTTCAGTTGAAGAATCAATAGTAAACAATCTATTTAAGAACTTTAATCAGCCTGTTAGTGTATAACCAGTTAAGAATACTGCAGTCATATAATTATATTTTTATTGTTTTAAGATACCTTCTTGTTATATATCCTCAGTGTAAGTTTTCTTTATATGTCAGAATTAAGCAATGCTTATTAACTGTTTTTACCCCCAAACGTATCCACACTATTTGCTACATTCAAGACCACATTTTAAAACTGTGAGAATAAATAACTGATAACCACGTCAGATGTGGATTTAAATCTCAAGGAAAGTAAGTTCTTACTTGGATTTTATGTTCCATAACTGTAGAGTTCCTTGTTCACTACCAAGAAGAATTTTATTCAAATAGGTACTTGGATGCATAATTGCAGAAACAGCAAACACAGATGTATCAAAGTTTAGCTGCAAATATTCTTCTGTGGAACAAAGAATAGTATTAGTACTCTGCAGAAAGAAGAATGGCCACTACACATACATGTAAAACATTTGCTTCTCACAACAGTTATATTAAAAAAGGGTCAAGTCTCACCTTCTGACTGTATATCCCAAATAATAAGAATATTATCATTATCCACAGAGATCACATGTTCCCCAAATGGCAGCACAAGATGAATATCTGCCCTGTGACCTTTATAAGTGTGAACCACCTACAATTCAAAATACTTTGGTTATTGCATTAGTAAAATGAAATCATATTGTAGTTCACATAATATAAACCATTATTATGGCCTGTAACACACCTTAATTGTATGAATTTCAGCACAAGACCTGACCCTCCTCCCCTCTTCCCAGATATACACCACCAAAATAATGTGGCTACTAAGACAGAATTTCATATATTTTGAGCTTCAGAACTCCTACATTTCTTCATCTTTCCACTGCCACTAATCCAATGCAGCACTAATTTTCTGTTCCACAGTAAAACATGCACATCACACTGTATGCAAATGTTTGTGGACTAGAATATTAATCCCACACTGACATTACAAAAGAGAATAGAACAGGTCACTTCTGGCCCTCTTAAAGTTCACACACAAGAAATATTCCTATAGAACAAAACACCTTTTCTCCAAATAGGCTGGGCTAATGCAATAACTATTGGGGCCTTCACTAATACAAACCATTAGGTCATGGTCTTCCACTAGAAGGTATTCAACCCATCCATGTATCTTAGCTAGTAGAGGGAAAGAGCTTTACCTGTTGCAGGACTTTCTCTTTCTCTGGAACACTAAGTTCCCTCCCTCAGTCAGGGGAACCATGCCACCCCAAGCAACCTACCCTATAGTCTAGGAACCACTGTACTAAAGAATCAACCAATGAAAAGTTCCAGCAGTATGAATGGTTTTCTCATGTACATAGTACAAAGTTGTTCTCCAGAAACATCAATTAAAAGACATCTGAACCATTAACTACACTTAACTCTATGTGTTCCCGAGTTCTAAAACGTGAAACTGTAGTATCACAAATAGGACATACACGGAAGTCACATCTACTCTCCTACTTGGATGAGGGTAGTCTTGCCATGGTTATTCATGCACTGGTAACCTCCACACTGGACTACTGTAATGTACTATATGATGGACTTCCCTTGAAGAGAGCCCAAACCTGCCAAATGATCCAGAACAGGACTGGTCCTTATGAACACATTACACCGATCCTTTGTCCATTGCACTAGCTGCCTGTTCCAGTCTGGGCCGAAGTCAAGGTTTGACTATGGCATATAAAGCCCTAAATGGCTTGGGACCACAGTGTCTTAGGGAATACATATTCATATATTCCTGCCCACTGCTTAAAATCATCAACTGAGGTTCTCCTCTGGGTTCCTCTTCCCAGGAAAGTTAATGGGGTGGCTGCAAGCAGGCAGCAGCCTTTCTGTGGCTGTACCTCAACTATACAATGCTTTACCTCATGAGATTCACCAAGTGCCTACTTTGCTAAGTTGTCAGCTTTTAGCAAAAACCTTCCTTTTTCAGCATGCCTATGGGATACTTAGACCACTCTGACTAATTGCAGATTTGAAATATATTATAGTTTTATTTAATTATTTTGTGATTTTATGTTGTTCTATTTTATTATATTTTAAATTGCATTGCTTTTATCTAATATTATTGGCATTTATTATTGTAATGGCCACTCAGAGAGTGTGATGCTAGTGGGCAGCTCTCAAATAAATTTAATAATGATGATAATGATGAATGAATGAAAGGCTCTCCCATTGATATATATGACTGGAGTGGGCAGAAATCTAACAAAAACCTGCTCAGACACAATTTTACCAGTTCAGTATTTATATCTGACTTCAATGGAATTTATTTCCATATATATGTATGTAAGATTGAGGTTAATTGTTCAGACACATTATTAAGTCTATGTAGTGTTTGGATCCCATTAACACCCACATCTTGACTACAAATGGCTTAAATGTTTTCAGGATTAGAAGCAAATCTTTGCATACTGTTTAATGATGATACAAACCTCTTTGTTATGAGCAAAAGCATTGAGAAGACTACCACATGATGCAAAAACCAACATTTTGTCAGCTGCCAAACATGTAATATCCTGTGGCAAAGCATTGCCTAAAAGAGAAAGAACAGGGGAAGAAAACAGTAAGCTTTTTATTTTTAGGTGAATGGAATAGAGCGGTCACCTTCTGATGTACCTATATTTTTTTCAGTATTACATACAATTTTCCTCAATATAACAGTCCATAAACTGTTACTAGACAATATCTTTCGCAGCACTCTTAGAATTGAAATAGACAAACTTCAGTAAGAATAACTGCAAGAATCACTCATTTGTATCTTGCATCCAATTCTGTAGAACAGCACAACCCTATTCATGTTTACTTGGAAGTATGTCCCTCTGTGTTCAATCCTTAATCGGTATGTTGAGGATTGCAATTATATCCATGAAAGTAAGTTCAAAACTGCAGAAAATATGGGTCTTACTGCCCAGACACCAGAATTCATGTTTACATGAGCAAAGTAACTTCGCACTATTGTCAAGATGCTCACTTCTCCAGACAGATACACTCTTAAAAAATTGCACAACTGTTTGACTACTTGACACTGGGAATGTTCTGGCTGAGGTTAATATCTGATCAATTCACACTTCCTTGGTCATTGCTACCACCTCACCCTCTCCAAGATGAATTGTTTTTTGTGAACTGACCAATTAAACAAGTGATACATTTACAGTACTAATATACTTGATGGTAATCTTAACATCTATGATTTGTGCTACTATAGTGGCAATATAGGAAAAGTGTAATGTACTGTTCCATTCTAGTTTTATTTGCTGCAAAGCTGAATATAGTGGCTATGTGATAGGAATTATTTCTCTAAACTATATTTAGAAAGAATATGACAAATTCTTGAAAGGGGAAGCTATAAAAGCTTAGGGATGACATTGTTTTTAAACTTTAAATCTCTCTCCTACTGTAGGCCACATCTTTAAAAAGGAACAAACTGATTGGTATTATAGTAAAATAATGTATATTCACTGAAACAAGTATTCTTTTCAGCTATAAGATTGAATAGTTGAATTATATTCTTTTTCCTTTTGTTATAAAGCATAATTGTCCTCTTTGTAGTAAAGTTTTTATTTCACTAGGGTGGAGAGCAAATGTGATGCAGTGGTTAGAGTGTTGGACTGGGATTTAAGAGATCCAGGTTCTAATCTCCATAGTGCCATGAAGCTAACTGCAAAATTTGGCTCAGACACTGACTCCAATTCAACCTACCTGTCAGGGCTGTTGTGAGGATCAAATAGAAAAAGAGGAGGGGGGAGGAATGGGATCCTTAAAGGAAAGATAGGATGTAAGCATAGAAAATAAATTAACAAACAATTCACACTATTTATAATGACCTTTTGTACAAAAATGATTTTGGCTGCAATTATTTGTGCAAAGAAATAAAGCAAATAAAAATTACACATGACTGGATACTTACTAACAGCAACTATGCCTAGCTTCTTCACCTGCAATAAAAAAACAGATTTTACTAGACAGCTTCTTAAAAATATTTATTTATGTATTTGATTTATATCTCACCTGTCCATCAAGAAAATGGTGGTTAAAGCTCCGAACAAACTTTTTAAAAAATTAAAATCATAGTTTAAAACAGAAACGAGACCATCTCCTAAAAACATACATATAACACACCAAAAATCAGTATTAGCATAGTAACATTTTGAAATACAGGGTTCCTTCCATAGAATTCTACCATGTGTGACTTCTAATCATCCTGAAAGTAGGTGGAGGTGACATCTCAAGCAATTTCCTCCTCTTTGTTTTATTTCAAGGAAGTGGGGAATTTTCAGAAGTGATAGTACTTTTCCATATTTGTTTTTCTGATTCACTGAGTTTGGCAAGTATTGTATAAAAGGGATTACAGCTACAGGGCTGGATTACATTTTTTAGCCAGTTCACACAGGAATGTTAATCCACTACAGCAACAGATCCCTAATAGTATAAAAGAGGTATTACAAATTACTATCACTTCCTACATCCATTTAAAGAATATTTTTTTCAATTAGACAATTTGTTCACCAAAAACAGGAGTGGGCAGCAGGATTACACCTGCTGATCACACACCAATGCACTAGCTAACTCTGCCATACATTTGCATGAGGAGGCCTTAGGCTCGTACAACCACAACCAATTCATAAGAGTGCTGCAGACGGAACTGCTACACTGGGTTGAACTGGCACAAAGAAGACATGCTAGAAAAAAATATTCATTTTACAAATGCTTAAATCCTTTGTATCCATGGGTATTGTTACTTGACCATCCAGAATCCACAGAATGGGAGGGGAAGTCCACGAATGCTCATGGAACCCCCAGTTGTGCAACTGGCAATCTTGCCCAGCCCTCATTCCTGGTGACCAACCTTCTTCCCCAAACACTGCTGCTGGTGCCAGCACATTCAGAAAAGGGGTGCAGTTAGTGGGAGTGATGGCCACCACTCCCGATGGCCAACCTTCTTCCCCACTGGTGGCTGCTGGGGCAGTAGTAGGCACAGAAGAATGGCACAGTTTCCACAGCATGTGAAGCCCATTTCCTGGCAAGCGCCCCATGAACCCTGGGTGTGCTCACCAGGAACTCTGGGCTGCTGCAAAGTAGACTGGTATTCAGGAATCAGAAAAACTGACCAACTTTCCATATATCGTTAGTCACAATATAAATGTTTCAGCACAAACACCAACATAGGTAGAAGATGTTCTTTGAATGAAACTGGATTGTGCTGTAGAACAGATTTTATGATTACCATCAATATTGGGGTTCCATGTGTCATGACATGAAAACATTTGCAGTTCAAGTCCCAGAAGTTCTGCAAAGGATATAGATAAGATACTCTTGTACAATACGCAAGCATTTATGTCACTGAAATCCAAATGATGCCTCCAGTAAGAATGAGATAGACAAGTATTATGCTCTATCTCCCTCTACTAATTCTTCATTACTTAGCTGAATGTTACTTTACCAACTCAAAGTCCATCAAGACTACCAAGACTTACTCTCCATTAATTTGTGTAATCCTTTGTCAATTCTTTTTTTTAATACTGGCATGCTCTGAACAAGCACAACAAAAGAATGAAATTACTTGGCTCATAAAGGGAACAGAATATATTAGGCATAATGGCTCTTGGAGCCTAACTAATGCTCCACCAGCACTGTGCTTGTGGAACACTCCCAACAGAAGGAGCCAGGAGCCAGTTTTTGCCAATTTTCCATTCAGCCTCTTGCAAATCCAAAAATAAGTTCCAAAGGGTTGATGTACCCCCTGGAACAGTGCAAGGGGAGGCACAAGGAGTGGCAGATGGGAGGGAAATCAAGATCCACTTTCTCCTTCTATTCCTCCCATGAATGAGTGGAGTCTCATTTCCCAAAAGAAAGGAGAACTTCTGTTTGGAGGATGGTAGTGAGAAGCCAAGCCATTTATCCTACAAATCTCTCTGATCCGATGATTTACATTCAAGCTGGAGCATTTGCTTCTGTGTTAAAATTACCTAGGTTAAAGTCCATCACTATTTGCTGTAGAAACAAATTCCTAAACTTGATGTTACATGGGGTGAATTACTTTGCCTGTCTTGAACCTCTTAATAATCAATTTCATTAGGTGACAGCAACCCCTAGTATTATAATTCTCTTACCACACTACTCAAATTTTAGGAGTATCTATCATTTTTATTTATACATATGTATCACATCAACACACAGCTGTCCTTTCTCTAAATTTAAAGACCCCAAATGCTATGTTTCCTTGTAGGAAAGTCATCCAAACACCTGAAAGCTGTGATGCAGGGAAGAAAATGTTTCAGTGCTTCATTTTTCCATAGAAAGATTGATGAGTTCACTGGTAAAAATGAATGGACACCAATTGCCAGTGCAATTGCAACAGGCAAGCCTGTTAGTTTCAGACTTGCAATTAATGCTTTCCAGGTGACTATCCTTTTCAACTTTTTGAGAAAGCATACATGTCATTGGCTGAAAAGGGAGTTCCACCACCTGAAGTATCCTTATTGGAATGCTAAAACCCTCTGCCACCATCACTTCTCCATCAGCAGCAACAGCATAAAAGTAGTGTTGGTGCAGACTGAGGGAGGCCTGACATTTGCAGGCTCCAAAGCTCACTCTTTCACCAGCATGCTCCCAGAACAGAAAAAACCTCTCCAGCCCTTAAGCTGCTGTACGTTATTTTCCTCATATGAACCAATGGGAAGGGTACTTATGAAAAATCCCAAAACTATCAAGGAAGCCACCAATAAAAACAAAACATACACAATGAAACGATGATATTGGAAATGCCGGCTTCTATAACACAGACACAACTCCTCTCATACTTCTCTGCTTGCATCTTATGCTTTTTGTACATTGTCTTGCAAGGCTGCCCCAATTTTGTCCCCCTTGCTATTTAACATCTACACAAAACCACTGGGAGAGGTCATTAGGAGGTGTGGGCTGCGGAATCATCAGTATGCTGATGATACCCAGCTCTACCTCTCTTTTTCAACCAATCCAGGTGATGCAGTGGCTGTACTGAACCAGTGCCTGGCCGAAGTAATGGGCTGGATGAGGGCCAATAAACTGAAGCTCAATCCAGACAAGATGGAGGTCCTGTTGGTGGGTGGTTCGGGCTCTGGGGTGGGAGACCTGGACCTTGTCCTGAATGGGGTAGCACTCCCTCTGAAGGACAGGGTCTGCAGCTTGGGAGTGCTCCTCAACCCAGAGCTGACTTTGGAAGCTCAAGTGTCGGCGGTGGTGAGGAGCGCTTTCCATCAGCTTTGGTTGATCCATCAGCTGCATCCCTACCTGGAGGATGACTGCCTGGCGACAGTGATGCAGGCATTGGTTACTTCCCAATTAGACTTCTGTAACGCGCTCTACGTGGGGCTGCCCCTGAAGACGGTCCGGATACTTCAGATGGTGCAAAATACAGCAGCCAGGCTGCTGACGAGGACTGGGTGTTGTTCTCACATAACCCCAGTCCTTCGTCAGCTTCACTGGCTCCCCATTGAAGTTTGGGCCCAATTCAAGGTGCTGGTGATTACCTATAAAGCCCTAAACGGCTTGGGACTTAGGTATCTGAAGGAGTGCCTGCATCCATACTTGCCCTCCCGCCCTCTAAAATCGGCGGCAGAGGCCCTTCTTTGGGAACCTTCTGTGAAAGGTATTAGGAGGGTGAGTACCCAGAGGATGAGCCTTCTCTGTGGTGGCGCCCCAATTGTGGAATGTGCTCCCCAGAGAGATCCACCTGGTGCTGTCGTTATTTGTTTTTTGGCACCAGGCCAAGACCTTTTTATTTAAATGTTATTTTAATTAATTGTTAAATTATTTATTGGTTTTATTTATTGCCTGGATGTGTCCACTTTTATATTTTTGTATATTGTTATTTATTTGTTGGAAGCCGCCCCGAGGCTTATGTGAATGGGGCGGCATACAAGTATCCCAGACATACAGACAGACAGACAGACAGACAAAATGTGCCCTCAAAAGGCAACCTAGAAACAATTAAACGACAGGCTGAGTAAGCAGGATATTCAGTCACCATAAATTTGCAGATGCGTATTTGTCCTCGCAGGAAGGAAAAGAAGCTGCGACCGCGCAAGCTTCAGCGAGGGCGAGCGCCCCTTCCTTGCGGTTCTCCAGCCCCTCGCCTCTTTTCCCGACAGCCGCTTGGGGAGAAAGAACGCGAGGGATTCCCGCGCTGCGGTCGCTTGTCGGGAGGGGCCAGCCGGCTGGGCGAGTCAGGAGCGACGCGGACTCACGTTGTAAGTGTGGAAGCTCCTCCCTGCGGCGGTGACCAGGTAGAACTCCCGGTGACGGCGGTGGTAGCGCAGCACGTGCGCCAAGTGATTGGAGTAGAGCCCGAGCGCGCGGAAACCCGAGAAGAGCGCGCTACTCCTGCCCGGGCCAGGGGCGCCCGGGCTGGCTTCGGCCGCCAGCGACATCGCTTCCTTTTCCCCTGAGCCCGCCACGCGCCGCAGCCACTCGCACCAAGCCGGCGAGCCGAGGACTTGAGAGGCTTCCGGAAATCTCCCCTACTTCCGTCACGCTGCCAGCCACACCGGTGCCCCTTTAAAAGTGGTCCGCTCCGTTACACTCACAGGGTGGAGGGTTTCTTTGGTTCCGCGTGTCGTGGTCGGTCTGCAGAAGGCACAGGTTTTGCTACTGCTGATCTTTGCTGGGCAGGATACTATGTAGTCTTGTTTTATATATGTATATACACGCATGCCTATATGTTATTAATAAAGACATTGCTGTTATTTTGTGTAATCACTGAGCTTTTTCATTCACATAAGGTTGCAGTCGGTATTCTATTGACAAGTAGGTAAATAGGTACTGCAAATGCATATTCGGGTTTTTACTATTGCTTTGTTAACCTTTAGCTACTAGTTCTCAGGGTGGGGCACTGTTATAAAACAGAAAGCTGGCATTAGAAGAAACCCAAACAATTTTTTAAAACACAGGACAGCAGAAGAAGAGAATTTCGAAGCAGGAAATAATAAAGACACAAAACAAAGGCTGGTCTAGATAGAAAAAAAATACAATTTATTGGAAAAAAAGTCCTACCATTCCCAGCATTCCTGTGGTTGGCATGGCTGGCTAGGTGAATGCTGGGATGTGTCATATTGTGTCTTAAAATGGCCTTTGCCTGATGAGAACAGGAGAAGTTTGGTGCCAGGTGGACCTCTCTGGGGGAGGATTTTCTGCATGTGTTGGGAGGGACACCTCTAATAAACAGGCCCACTGAAACATCATTATTTGTCACACCTCAGTGTCGGGAAATCTAGAACCTCAGAACCAGGAGAATGTATGTTTGGATTCACAGAAGACGCTGCATTCAGTTTCAGAGGTTTATTAGCAGGATACCCCAGGAATCCCTCTCTGGCCGAGAAAAACCAACAGTGCTGTCTGGTAGCCAGTATACTGAACTGACTACGAGCTTCCAGAGTGTGGACAGAGTTTTAATAAGTTGTGGGTCACGTACACAGTTTCAAGGTAATGATGAGATTCTGAATGGGTGAGAAGGTGAGGAAAATGGGGAATAATACAGAAACATCAAGAAATCATTATAGGCATCAGGAAAAACATCATGATGTATCAAAGGCTTGAGGAACATATAACAAATAAAACCATCAGGAGTTACAGAAATCTAACAGGCTTAAAATGCTGTGGTTTTTGCAATCAGATACTGAATTCCTTAAGAAAAAGCTACATATTTTTACATTGGAAAGAAAGCTTAGCTGCCCTGATCGGCTTGCAACATTGTTTTAATGCTGTTTCAGCTAGGAGCTTCCTGAGAGTGGGCAAATTGTTTGCATGCTTGGGGCTGTTTTTCCTTTTCCTGGAGAAGGAATTAGAAAGGTAAAACCCTGCAGATGGGGAGGGGGAGAGGACAGGGAAGGCTCTCCATATTTTAACCTATAAAACTTGAGTTGCTCTGCAAGAAAATGGAGCCCCCGGGGTTACCTGCCTTTCCCAGCTGTGTGGAGCTGGGCTAAAAGTTCTAGTACCTTTGAGAAGAGAGGAGTAAGGGCACTGCTGCCAGATTTTATATTAAAGGACACGCAAAAGCATATCTTTTTATTTGAGGATTTATTTGGGCTTTCCCAGCATCAGCATACAGGGGCACTTCGTAGCGTGATTTCTAAAGATCATCTCAGGGCTCCAGTAGAAACATAAAGGAAGGCATGTACAATATTACAAAAACATTAGCATAGAATTACAAGTAAACATATGCAAGATAAGTAGTTGATTTTAAAGTATGAAATGCAGGTGTGTTTGGCCCT